AAATGAGATGAGGTTATAATGTTATGGAGATTCAATTTAGATATCTATTTATATTCCTATAGGAGTTATTTATACTGCTGAAGGATATTACTATTTTAGATGTTGGAAAAGCAGTGAAAAAGTCATTTCCGACCCTATAAAGTATTTGTATTTCTGATTAGCTTCAACAGCAGAGTCAATCTATACATGTTTTGGCAGATTTTAGCTCTTTTTTTTCAAAAATTTGATAAAAATCTACCACAAAATTGAATGATATTTTGATTTCTTATAATTTTAAATATTGTATGCAGATTCGTTTACTTATTCTTTCTATATTCTTGGCAACCAATATTTATAAAATTTTCTTCAGTGTGCCCCTTTGCTGTAAGGACATTTACCCGCCGGCCATTCGACTTGGAGTTCTTGATATTTTTCGACTGCTTCAGTTGATGTTTTTCAATTATGCAAATAAAGGGATTAATTTGTTGCGGCTCTCGAGGAGAAGGGATGCAGGATGTGTGGGTGGGGGATGGCAACCCCTGAAAATTGTTTTAAAGAATGCGCCTGACGCTGATAAAAGTTTGTCTCAGCCGAGTTTTCTCCCCCAATCCCGCACGTTCTCTTTTCTTGGAGATAGCAAACTGTGCGACAACTATAAAAATTTCAATTACAAAAAGGAGGTAGAGGGGTTGCGAAAGGGTGGCTACTAAATTTGGAAGGCAGAAGGGGAAAGGCAGGAGCAACTTCCAAAATTGACTTCATTAAAGTAGAAACAATTTTTGGCGTCCGGACAAGTTGTCTATTTGGACGTGTGAAAATGACAAAGAAATATTTGAGGGGTTGTGGAAAAGAAATGGAATATTTTAACTATTTGAATTTTATAAAGAACTTTGATATAAATTTAACAAATATTTTTATTAAATTATTATATATTTAATTATATTTTAAATTGGTTTTTTCTATAGGGGGTCTAAAGAAGCCTACATAAAATACAAATACTTTGGAAGTTGCGCTTCATATATTTTTATTTGTCTGCCAATTCCGTTGGTTTCAATTTCAGCTGCGTGCGTTCTGTTTTTCTTTTGTTCCTTAACATTTGTTTTACCCCTTTTACCCCCATTTCATTTGCTCTTTCAATTGTCAGTTCAGCTGGAAGTGGCTGTTGAGTATTAGGTCTAAATGGCGAATTACAAACATTCCGGCAAAAGGGGAAGAAGTGCCATCAAGGAACTCTTTATGGTGATATGGTGAGAATGGCGGGAGTTACGGAATGGAGAGGGTTAGGTACGGGGTGGGCGTTGCACAAATTAAACCCGAATGAAAATTAAACGATGCATGAAATTACTTTGCTTCTTTTTTTTTAACTTTTCTCCTCGCTGCTGTTGGCTGTTGTAGGCAAAGTTCTTTTACATTCTAGACCCCATACCCTTTCCATATTTTCCATGCCTCCGTTCCGGCTCCTTCTCCTTCTCCGACTTTGGCTTTAGCTTTTGGCTTTTGCCTTTGAGTAAGGCCAGCTCAGCCCTTCCTTTTCGCAAAGTCAGGAGCGTACGGAGTTTAAAAAGTCCCTCAGGCTTTTAGATTGTAACTAGTAAAAATTACATGTAATTATATTGTAAATATGTTTACAATACTATACATTTATTTAAACCAAAAAATATGTATGTATATCACTAAGTTATTTGTGAGAGGTAAAGTTATATAGTTCAGATTCCTTTAAGTTTTCATGTATTATAAAATATAAAAAATTAAATATATATCATAAAACAGAATTTAAGATATTCTAAATATAAGCTTACATTTTTACTAAAAGGAAAAACCCCTTTCATACACTCATTGCGCCCCACTGCTGCCACTCTCTTGCCGGCTGTCTCAAGTTCCCTTTTTTAATTTTTAATGTGCAGTCAGTTGCTGTTACTGTAGTCTGCTGCAGAAAAAAGGACACACACCATTTACGCAGGCAGGGTTGCACTGGGAAAAAGGAAGAGAAAAATGGAAGGCAGGGAGTAATGTCCCAGGCCAATTTGCGAAGTCAAATGCCAGTCAACTGCAATTAAGGCGCTAAAAACGGATGGGCGTTTTCCCCTGGCAGGACATCAGGATGATCCCCTTTAACTACTAGAATCTTACAATGTTTTAGACATTTTTTATTAAATATTTAATAGTTAAATATGTAGTAAAAACGAATGTATGTATTTCGAATGTATTTTTTCTTGAAAGAAATACGAATATTTTTCTTGAATATATGTCTATTGTTAAATCGCAATTGTTTGTTTTTAAAATATAAAGAAACTGTGACGACTTCTTCTTGGCTTCACCTTATCGGGCGCCGAGTGGCACAAATCCATAGCTTATTAGCACATTTTATGGCATCATCTACTCCATTTATATACCTTTCTCTTCTGTTGGGTTAACAAAAATATGCCGACACGGAAATGAATTTATAATTCATGACTATTGTTGTTTTTTGCTGTTTCGCATTCGGGGCTATAAAATATTCGAGCCCAAATGGCGGCCTGCATGTGTATATTTCTTTGTGATTGTGTGTGTGGGGCAGCAAAAAGGCAAACAACTAACTCATTTTGTGGTTGCCAACGCCGTCTCTTCTTCATTTTTTATGCCAATTGTCTGCCACCAAAACACACACATACAGAGGCAGAAGGACACACACGAGAACACCAACACACGTGCCGGCAAACACGCTGAAAGTATTCAACGTATTTTTTATTGAAGGCGCGACTGCGATTTTGATTCCGATTGCGATTTTCCACTTCTTTTTCCCGCTCTCCTTACAACTGTCCCTTTTTGTGACTGGATAAAGCACTCGAAAAAATATTGCAGTAATTGTGTCAGAATTGGGATAAGAATAAATATTTTTATTAATGTAGAACAGAAAAAGTGATTTACTTACATTACTTCACAACCTTATTGCTTACAGGGCGTATGTGTAATATCTCAAGTCATAATATTACACATACGCCTAGTTTGCCGAGCTGATTTTATTTTTTTATATTTATTTAAATTACAAATATATTTATTTTTGAAGTCACAGGAGAAAGAGAGAGTTAATAGATATTTTTTCAAGTATCCTCGACCACCGATTTGTGTGCACATTGTTCAATATTACAGATGCCACTGTGTCACAGTGCCTCTGTGTGTGTCTGTTTGTCTGCATAACCTCCGGCTTGGGTTTTTGAGTGGGCCCTGTGACAGCTCAATATATTCGCCATTTGTCGCTGTATAAACCACACTCCCTCTCGCTTTTGCCCCACTTAAGGTGTGGGTCTGCCTGCCTTATCCTCAGCCGCTAGTTGTCATATAAATGTGGCTTGCCGAATGTCGCAAAACTGTTGAACGATGCTATAGACAACACCAGATCCTCTCCTCTTCGCACCTCCCAGTCCGCACTCCTAGTACTAGGGAAAAAGTGAAGGAGAGAAGCAGGTAGATAGTCATATGAGGGCAATATGGCACCTTGGTTTCACTAGAGATGAAATCCTTAAAAACGAAGAGAAATAAAAATGATCTAAATTAAATTTTAAGGGAAAATGATATAAAGAACATGGATAAATCCAATAAAATAAGTCATTATGCCAGCCAGGCACTTTAAAATATAAACTCTTCCATAAGTTTACTAATATTTATTGAATAATTAAGTGGTAGGTGACCAAGTCTCAGGCACACGTAAATGAAGTCAAAATCCATTCTCTAAACACTTCCAATTTGGCCTTTTTATTTTCGCATTTACTGCTCTTAAATTCGCCATTTTAACTGATCGTGTAAGTTACACATTTCCGTGTAGTAATTCATTTTCCTTATCGGGTAACCACTGTGCCCACTAGTTCCTTGTGCATGAGTCCCTTTCCTTTGCCTTTCTTTCGCCTTCCTTATTCGCAAATGCAGGAAAATCAATTTCGTTCTCCATTTGCAGTTGGCAATTTGCATAATAAGGTCGTTTGGCGCAATTTGCATGTGAATGTGATAAATTCAATGGCGGCGCTGCACGTTACACCACACACACATGCATATGCGTCTGGTTTGCTGTGTGTGAGTGTGATTCTGCGGTGGTGTGCGTGAATATTTGTTTTTTTTTTCGCTCTCTCTCTTTTTCCCACCGAAACGAACTCAGTTTTTCACGTTTGACGTTTGGAAAAATGAAAAGTGTAGCGGTATATTAAATAAGTGGGCGTATTGCCACCCACAAGCCAGTACAAATACAACGGCTTCTGTTGCGGGTCCTGTTACGGGTACCGTTAGTCTCCCGGGACTGACCGAAAACCCGCCAAAATGTCGCGAAAGGCAAATAAGGGGATATTTGCCGGGTCTCGCTGTTTGTGATTTAAAAGCTTTCAGCTGGGTTCGGCTTTGATTCCCTTTCAAGGGGTGGATTTGTTATTTAAAAAACATAAAATATTAAGAAATATATTAGTATGTTTCATAAAGCTTTATATAAAAATTAAATTAGGTCTCTTGAAGAGAAATAATTATTTAATTTAATTTATTTATTGGTACCTTAAGCTAATTCATTAAGATTTCCTTTAGATATTTAATCAACAGTCTTAATATATTTCTTTTAATTATTCCTGAACAATATTTTTATAGGGTATTCGTAATTTCGCACTCCTACTTGCTCTTTGTTATCTTTTTTTTGCAAAATGTCGAGTTTTTGCGCCCGTATTTTCGTTTAGCCTTACACGTGAATTGTGGACTGCAGTGACGTGCACTGGATTTGCCCGAATCTAAGTGCCCGAGTCCTGCAGGACAAGTCAAAATTCATGTGACAGGGCCCGCAAGAGGTTTTTTGTGTTTGCTTTCGGGCCAGTTTAGGAAGAAGATATGGCCAACTGGAATCATAACTGCTGAAATATGAATGTGGGTTAGCGCATAAGAACCAAGGGGATAAGTTGGACTGCAGTTGCAATGGATATGGAAATGGAAATGGCATTGCCAAAGCGATGCCATTAAAAATAATTTCGCCACAATAACATCCTTTCCGAATGCTCTTTCCCCGCTAATTGCAGACATTACCAGCTCGCTGACAATGACCGAGGTGAAGATACCTAATCACATAATGCGCCTGAAGAGCGCCACTCTGGGCTGTCGTTACGCCCTCGACGGGGAGTCCTTGTACTCCGTGAAATGGTATAAGGATGGCAACGAGATCTACCGCTATGTACCGCGCGATAAGCCCCCCGGACAAGCGTTCCCTCTACCCGGAGTTAACATCGATGTAAGTACACTGAAACAAAGAAATAATTCAATTTCTTATACTGTATGTTTTTAATTTGATCTGAATAATACATTAAAAAGTTGCCATTGGGGGCTAAAAATCAAATACTATTTTATATTATAGTTCTTAGAACTTATTATAACCCACCTATTTTTTATCAGTGCTCAGTAAACACGGCAACAGGTGTTGCTTACTAAAAAAAAAAAGGAAGCGGAAAAATTTAATTTAAAATTTTATTACAATTTACGGTACTGATTTCAGGGTTGCTAAGGGAGGTTCTTTAGGATTTAGTGTTACGACCCCGATCATAATGATTATTTTAAAACATGTAATTGCCGCAATGGAGAAGCGCAACCCTCCGGAGCTCCTCGAGCCACTTTTTCGCCCGATTTTCCCCCAAGTTGCTTTCTATGCTTGTTGCTGATTACGTCGTCGCTGGAATGAAAATTGCTGCCACGTAGTTTTGCCATTTAACTTTAATTTAATGTGGATGTAACCTTTCTTTGTTGCCCATAAAATTGTGTGTCCGTGTGGGTTGTTTTTGCACCGCCAACCCCAACCGCCTCCCCTTCTGCCTTAGCTAAGGTCACGTGTTGGTCTGCTTTCCTGGCGATTGAAAAGGTTAACGGAAATCACTTAAAGCTGTCAATATCCCAGACAAAGTTGATATTCTCTGTGCTTTCCCCTTCACTTCTAGCCTCTCGCATAATAATAATTTGCCAAAAGCACTTAAGTGCGTCTACTTTGTTGGATGGCCAGTCAAAGCAAAGCGAGGCTAAAAAAGGACCGCGAATACACCGTGAAAAATAGGTTCCGACGATACATTTAGTCCAACCTATGGTCGGCATTTTCCTTTAAAAGTTAATAAATAAAAGGAGTAAAAGAAACTCATTAAGAGATTACATGTACATCCACATATTTGATTTTACTAATTTTTTAAATATTTACAAATCTTATCAAAAGACCCACTAATATCGCACTTTTTTCCCTCCGTGCCAGGAAAAGTAAATCCCGTCAATTGTCGGGGCTAACGTGGCGTATGAGCAATGTGCCAGCGTATTTTATGGCCTGTGTGCGTGTGGCCAAGCGGTTGGAAAGGGAAAAGCGAGAAAGGCAAGGAAAAATTATGTGTGGGCGAGAGAGGAGAGGAAAAAGCGTCGGCTAAAGGGGAGTCCTTCAGTGGAAGCATAATGCGTAATGCGGCATAATTTTCGTTTGGTTTCAATGTCTGCATTTGGTCTCTGCCATTTCGAAAAGGGTTGAAGGCCGAGTTGAGTGGAGGGAAATGATTAGAACAAAAGAGAGGGAGCCCCAAAGGGAAGGGACGTTACGTTAGTTTGCGCTGACTATGGGAAAAGCATGATAAAGTGGGAAAATTTCCATAAGGACTCTCTGAGCTGGCACTCAACGAAGGAATTACTTTATATAATTGAGGGATTAGGCTGGGATAGGGATTGTGTAATACACTTGCATCCAGACTAATACTTGAAAATTGTTTGGCTTAATCGATGTGAGGGTCCGAGCAGGTGGTAAATTATCTTATTTTCTTTAAAGAGAATTCAGTTGCATGATGGTAACATCTTCTTGCAATAGTCTAGCCTTAATACAGATGTATATTGTCTATGAAATGAAATTACTTTATTGAAACCTTCAGCTTCAGTCTATTTCGGAATCAGGCTTCCTTTTTGGTTGTTAGCCACTGCAATCAGGGCAAGATAAACAAGGTTAGAGCCCAGATTCCGTTTGGCAAAACCAAATTTGGAATTACAAATAACAACTTCAATCTGCGGTCATGGGCAAAATGGCCGCGCATGTTCCAGCCAAGGAAGCTAAGACCGGCAACGAGAAAGCAATAAAGGGAGACTGCAATTTGAATTGTGGCTAGATTTGGTTTTTTGGCGAGCGAGTCCCCCCCTCCCTTTTCTTGCCACCCAACGGAGAGATATTTTCAAGGGGGTGCTGACAAGTTGAGCGTGCCGAAAGAATTGGCAAAAAGACGAAGACGCAGCTAGAGAAGAATCGGCTTAAGTACTGCCAAGAAGCCAACAAACAAAAGCCAGTCCACAATCATTGTAAGGGACAGTGGGGGCTGGGGGAGTGTGCTGTGGCAACGACAACGGAAAACAAGCAACAAACCAAAAATAATGTTGAACGTGACTTTTGTGATTGTTTACGCCTGAGAGGGGCGGAGGGAAAGGGCCGAGGAAGAGCATAAAGCAAGGGAAAGCAAAGAATTTTCATAAAAATTTGCTCGAATCAAATGAAACTTTCTGCTGCATGTGTGCCTGTGTGATTGTGTGTGCGATAATAAAACTGCAACTTAAAGAACTTGACTTGACTGCAATTGTTGCCCAGGGAAAACGAAAAAAGAAAACTGTTGGAGTGACTTTTACCACATTCCGCCCTCACATGCGTATCTCGCATCTTTTATTCCGGCTCCTGTGCGATTGTTTCTAGATCTTTCATTTTCATTCGCTTATTTGGCCTTTCGGGCACCGCTCTTCCGACTTCTGGCTTTGTGACTTTTGTTTTCGTTTTTTCAAGGATTTCTTATCCCTGGTCCTTGAGAAAATTACATTTTTCGCCTACTGCCGGTCGAGGAGTGGGAGGCGTGTCCAGCTAAACTAATAATAAACTGCCTTCGGGTCTGCCCCATCATCAATCTTCATTTTGCGGCGAATTTGTGAATGTTAAAAATCATCCATAGAAAAATCTTCAACTCTAATTGCGTTTGATTTTGTGTCGATTCATCTCTGGGCAATTTATCTCACCAAGTTTTTGCACTGGAAAAATAAGTTTTAAGGAATATACGAGCCTCTCTGCATTTATAACGTTGTTAATCCCTTAAAATAGTCACAAAAAGCTCAAGAAATAATTATCTCTACCTTAAAACTGATTTTAAAAAATATACACAAATTACAAGAAATATCTTTATCGCTGCTCAATAAATTCTTACATTTTTATCTTCGCCCCACAGCTGCGTAACTCCTCGGACACCCAGATTCTCCTGCGACGCGTTACACTACAAAGTTCCGGACTGTATCGGTGCGAGGTGTCCGGCGAGGCGCCCGCATTCAACACCGTATCCGAGTCGGAGACCATGACCGTTGTGGGTGAGTTTAACATAAGGAATAAGGCGGAAGAAAAGTGGGCCAGATCTGGGCAAAATAAAAAAGTGAGGCACTTGGACAGCGGGCGACAGCAGAAAATTTAATTAAAATGCTAATAGTGCCGGGCAGCCGACAATGTTGTGAATGACAGTGGCAAGTGATGCGGCATGCGAAGCTGCAGGAACCCGGGTGCTCAGCATCCGGAATGTGCAACATAATTGTTGGGAGTGGATAAAGAGTGGGGCCAAATGGCAGCCGAGGCAACTTGACGGCGGCAAGTTGAAGGAAAAGTGCAGAGGACGACGGCGAGACTCCTGTCACCGGACCGAAAAGCCAGAATGAGGGAAAAAACCATTTAAAAACGCATGCGAAGCATCGGAAATCTGAGGCTGCTGAATGTAAATTGCATGCAGGTTGTCAGCACCCTGTCAAGGAGTCTTTGATGGCACATGGCCTGCACAAGGATTCCCCTTGCATATGCGGGATGGAATATTAAGGGGTGTTTTGCAGAGTGACAAGACCGAGATATCTTTAAGTGGATACAAAAAATGTGGTGATCTATGAGGAGGATTTCGGCTTAAACTTAAACTTATACACTTTTATAAAAGACAAGGTGAAGGGGTTAATTTTGAGTTATTATTATATATTTTAGTACACTTAAAACTTATTGTACAAATATCTTTAAGTAAATTAAATGTATTATTTCTGTAAGTTTTAAAATATTCATTTTGAAACCTTAGATGTCTTGCAAAATTCCAACTTGGAAATCTCTTACCCTTAAAACCACATTAATCATCTTAATGAAATTAAATTCCTCGGGTTGTCCCCATTCAACTCGAAACTGCTACCGAGGACGGGTGACAACTTAAAGTGCACCTGGCGGCGAAGGTGTTTCACCTGGCCTCCGAGGTCTCCGGTTCCCGGTCCCCGGTCCCCGTTCTCCACTCTCCGGTCTCCGGTCTCTTGTCTCCAGTCCCCCAATCTCCGGTCGCCATTCTCCACTATACGTTCTCCAGTTTCAGTCGCAGTTGCAGTCCGTAAATGGAATTCATGCAACATGGCAATGCGTTGCAAATGGCATTGTCGAGTCGTCTCAACTCCCAGGCTCCTTGTAAACTCACTAGCTTTCCCCTTGTTCGCTGCTTTTTAAAGGACTTCTCTCGCATTTTTTGCTGCCTTTCTTTGCGTTTCGCCTTGGCAACCCTAGACTGTACTGTGTTCCCATCTCCGCTTCATTTTTTGCGCCACCCCACTGCTCTTAATACAACTGCATAATCTAAGCAAACAATTGAAATGGAATTTTTGCAGTCGACGTCGCTGTCGGTAGTCCACAGTCCGGAGTCCGAAGTCGGCGCAGCGCCAACAAAAGGCGCACATGTGGGTACAGTGAAGGGGCGTGGTCGTGGGCGGCAGTGGGCGGGACTTGGCTGCCACTGTCATTGCAATTTTGAAGTAAAATTATGTTTTCATGTCCGACTTTCAAGTGGTAAAAAACTGGGCTAAGACAAAGGAGCCATCTGGCAGAGGCTGGCTGACTGGTAAAAAAAGAAAAACTGGATCCTTTTACCATACATAGAATGTGAAGGATAACGAATGCACTGAAAGAGCATAACTTTTGACAATAAAAGTGTTTCTTTCAAGGCATAACAAAAACTTTCACTAAAAGAACTTAAATTATTACATGCAATTGAAATCTAATTATGTTTCATTTAACATAAAAATATTTTCAGTAATTTAATAGACTGAAGAGTTTGTGTAAAGAATTTAAGCTTAGTTTCGATAAGCCCTTCTTGGCATGTATAGAGCTACAGGCCATCTTGATGTTTCTACTTCTCCAGCACCGAACTTTTCAAGCAACCCAATCAAGTTATCCAACTGCGCCTCAAGTTAATCAGAAATTTATAAACTCATAAAAGAATCAAACGGTTATCAATATGTGCACGAGCAGCAGCTAGGCAGGGGAATCCCCCTGGGGACACACTGTGAAAGCACAACCGATCCGATCCGAACCACCAGCATCATCAATGGAAGCCGCAGCCCCGAGGGCAGAAACCTGCATTAACTTATGGCAACAAGGAGCAGGACGTCGCACAGAAGGACTGCCTTTGCCACTGCCACGCCCTCGCCCACGCACTAAGCACATTTCATGCTGATTTTTCTTTTGGCCATTCCCTTAGCGCTCGCCCACCCCTCGAAGGCGCATCGGTATGCCGGGGAAATGGGAAATGGTTTTGCATATTAAACAATGTGTCTGGGCAGCCAAATTGAACGATATTCGAACCAAAGTCGCAAACAAAAGGCAGAAAAAAATGTGGCAAGAATAAAAGAGAGTGGGTAGTAATAGAAATAAAAGGATACAGTGAGGCCTGCCTTTGAAATGTCATTATGTTGACTTGAAAAAGTTGACTAAAAGAGCTAAAAGCGGATTATGTTAATAACTAAATGTCTAATTTACTCTTATATTTTTGCTGTACATTATTTTTTTTTAAAGTATATTTTTAATATGACAGTCTTTAGGTGTGTTCACTGTACATGTACCCATTGTGGGCATTGCAACTCGTACAAAATAAGGGGAGAAAAAGACAGAGAGTTGAGTAGGATGAAGCATAATCATCAACAACTGTGTCAGCACCATCGGGGAAAGAGGTTGACGAGGGTTTCTCGTTCTGCTAATGCAAGTGAACCATAAAATATGCTCCAGTGAAAGCCGACTGTCCCCAAAGGCAGTTGCCAATGTTAATTTAGCGATCGTAAAGTGTCAGCGACAACATTTGCGATGACGAGAAATTCCCAGCAGAAGGGATTTTCGCGGGCTTAAATTATGATTTATATTATTAGTTTTTTTTAAGAAAAGTTGATTGAGAGCTGTAAATAAATCCACTATAGTGAATATTTATTCTATATTTTACAGTAGATTATAAATATTTTAATTTAAATTATTTTACTTATTGTATTTCTAAGCTTTCTAGGTCAGTTATTGTTTTCACAATTCCATGCTTTAAACTTTAGTAAATGCTTTGCCTTTGACCTCCTTTGGATAATTTACAGCTCATTAGTGTGGCCAGGCCGGGGAGCTACAATAAATATCCCCCGAATCCTTACTCTCCCGCCAGGCCACCCTCATAGCTCATAAAAATCACATTTAACTTTGCTTGCCAGTGGGAGGCGGCTGGGAATGGTAAGCAAGGGGTCCTTTATGCAGGCAATTGCTTTTTTATATTGTAAAATCGATAAGCGATCACATTATATGTGTGTGTCCGAGATGGAGAGGGCACGGAAAAAAGAGAGATAGGTCGAGGAGCAAAGAAACTCAGCGGGAAAAGTGAGTTATATATGTGTTTGTCCCTTAAAGTGCACTTAACCATAAATTCAGGACCAGGATGAGAATCCAGAGAGACACCCAGAAAATCGGGCAGGCAGAAGGGGAGAGGTACAGAGTGGAGAACAGGACATGTGCCGAGAGTTGAGAGCCTTGCTCATTAATTATAAAACAACGCGCGAAACGCAACAGATACACAGGGAATAATGTAAAAACATCAATTAGATAATAATTATAATATTTTTTATGAATTTTAAATAATTTTATTAGAAGAAACAAACAAGTTTTGACCTATTCAATCTATAAATTGTTTTTTATTTCTTTGGTTAGACTAAATTTTGCTAAAGACTTTTTCCTTTAGAATTTTCTATATTCAATCTTTTAATTTAGTTTTATTATTAAACTTATCATACTCTGCCCTTTTATTACAGCAGTCAAAGACCATTTTAAATGCTATATAATTAGTAACATAGAATATTTAATACATTTGTTAGTTTTTTCTCTCTCTGTGAACATAAACACACACAATGGGACAGTGGAGAGTTCGATGCAGATGAGGATACGGAAGAGCCGCGGAAGTAACGGTTACTGTAATGTTGTCTTAACTCAAACATGCCGCAACTCATGCGAAGGATCCACGCGGCCAGGCAAAGGACTCGGCGCTCGGTATCGGGCATTAAAAATCGTTGCCATATGTAAAATTAAAGATAACAAACGAGGAATGTCGGGGGGACCAAGTGTCGATGGGGGAAATGAAACGGAGTGCGAACTGAAAAGCAGGCTGGGGACAAGTGAAACATGGAGAAAAACGGGAAGTGAAACGTAAAAGTAGAGTGGCGACTGAAGTATTTCTGAAGTGCTTCATAGCAGAGGGAAACTGTCGCAGTTTCATACATTATCATTTCTTTTCAAAAGCTGATAATTTCTTTAATTTTAATTACTTTTCATATAGTTTAATATAGTTAACTTTTCATTAAATATTTTTGTTCAGTTGTTTGTTTCTGTTTTTAATTCATTTTCCTAAATTAATATGTTAACTTTATTTTCTTAATAGAGTTCCCTTCGATTGGTTTTATTACTTATATTTTTTATTATTTAAATATTATAATTTATTTATTATTAAATAATTTAAAAATATAAAAATGCAGGTATGCCAATAGCTAAAAGCCACATAGTGTCAGCTATGCATTATCTCTTTGTGTTTAAAAAGCTCTTTTACATAATTTTATTATACCCATTAACATTTTCCTTTCTCTAACACCACGGGCATATGCTATTGCCTTGAATAAATTTCATATAACGAAGTGTAAATCATTTCGGAAAATGTTTATTAAAACTTTTTTTTAGACACAGATAAAGACGGAAAATTAAAAAGAATACAAGATAAAGAGAATGACAGAGGGGAAGACGCATAGAGCAGAGAACCACTTTAGCGACGAAGGCTCAACATGTGCATAATCCACACTTACCCACTCCAGAGGGGAGTCGTCCACAGTTCTTCTGCAAATAGAACAGGTGAATGCCTGGGGGGTGGCCCAATCTACCAAAAGCCGAGTCCTTTGCCGCAGCAGCCCTCATTGCCAAAATCCCAACCACCTGACCTGGCTTATCACCTGCTAAGAAGAAGCTGCAAAGTGCGCTTCAAGCGAAAAGGGGAGGTTTGACAGGTAACAAAAAATATACCGCAGCATATTAAAAGAAGACCACACGCTGAGCAGGAAAGTTACGAAAAAAAAAACATGGAATGACGCCCACTTACAGTGCTCACTGTAGTTGTCCTCGTTCTGGTTGCTCCAATTGTCATTGGGGTATATTAGCTTGAACATACAGATAATACTAATTTTGAAGATGATTTACACACATAAGAAAATTAAATGAGTATATTCAAAGCTTGGCTTTACTACAGCAGTTAATAAAAAAACAGTTCAACACATTTAGATAATTTTTCATAATTTTAAACAATGTTCTGTATTTTATTTATAACAAAAATGAAATATATCATTATAAAAAACATCTAGCAAAAATGTTTGCTAGCTTGCTTTTAATATAATATTATAGAAATAATACTTGCTGAAACATTTAGGGTTTCTTAAATGAAATAGAATTCTAGGGTATCTCTAGCTTCCAGACTAAAATTTAAATATTGTATCTGTTGGTTGTAACTACTGCTATTTTTGTTTTCCTATTCTTGTGCATGTTGTTGCTGTGAAGTGCTCCAGACATTTTGTACTTATTTTTATTTTTCTGGCTACTGCACAAAAGGTGTATACCCCTTCCAATTTTACCAACCTTACCATTTTTACCCACTCTCTTCGCCTACAGAAACTGCTTAGTCATGGGAAAATGCCGAAAGTATACTTGAAGCATGTGGCCATTCGACATTCGGCCATTTCCCTCTTAGCTTTTAGTTTTCGGCTTATTGCAGGGGCTGTGCCCTGCGGCTTTTCTCCCATCCCCGCAATTTCCTCCCCATCTGCTCTGATTTTCCCTATATTTTCCCCTCGTACACTGTGTGTCCTTTATCGTTGCGTGCTAAGTCTGGTCAAAATAAATTGCCAACTCATACAGACATACATGTCCTTTTGCCTCCGCCGTCACACTCTTTCACTCCCGCTGGCTTTGTCTCCGTAGATTTATGCCACAAAATAAAATTTAAGTGCGACAATATGGCGATGACTGAAAAAGCTTGCAAAATATATATAAACAATTATCTAAACATGATCCCAAACAGAGCAGGTGAGCAGAAGCTGAAATTTATTAGGTCAGGAGAAGGGGTTTAAACTTTAAAGTTTATTTTTTATAGTAATAAATAATAAAGACATGTATTACGTTTTCTGTTTTCTATTTGCAGTTAAATACACGTAAAGTAAAATATTAGTTAAAACAAATATAGAAATCAGCAATTACAACTAATTTTAGCGTAGATTTTTCTTTAATATTTAACCTAAAAATGTTGAATGATTGAAGATAATTGAATTATTTAACTACAGCTTATTTTGAAAAAGAATGCCAACAAAGCGAAATGCGTTTATCAAAAATGCATTTCTCTAAGCCAAATTTTTTGATTGCTCCCAGTTGCCTTTGTGCCGAGTTCCTCTGCCCTGTTCTTCACCCAAAAACTGAGTTCCCTGAGAAAATTAAGTTTACATGGCAGAGAGGAGAACCAAAGCAGAGCCAAGCTTTACTTTATAAATTACAAATAAGCAAACGGAACAGAGAAATCCAATCCCGAGTAAGGGCCAATCTGTACAGGATTTTGGCACTCAAGAAAAATATGTTTGAAATTTCATTTATTTTAGGAAATCATATATAAATTTATAAATCTATGAGTGTAAATGCATGAAAATTAGAGCAGGCTCCGACTTCTTTTCTTTAGCCTTTCTAGCTAGTGCAATAATATTCTTTTAGTGTACGGATTGGACCTCACAAAATCCAGGTACAAACTGACCAAAAACCAACAACAAAACAAAAGCAAACCCAACAAAAACACTCAGCGCTTTCTAAGGAAAATTAATTTTTTGAAAACCATTAAAAATTAATTTTATTTTATGGCATCCACACAAATACTACAGCAGCAAGAAATGTTATGAGGATGAAAATATCTCATCTCGATTTCTTTTTTTTGGTCGCTTTTGGTATGAGGGAATATTTTTAATGCATACAGAAAACACTCGACTTAGAGGAGAAGGGAATGCAGGGATAAAGTGGAGATGGGCAGCTTTAGAGAAGGAGAGTCCTGATTCTGGTCCTGTTCCCACTTGACTTGGTTTTTATTTCTGTACATGCATGAACAATTTATATGGAGAAGAATCAAGAGGACGCTGTGAAAGACAATGCAGAAAGTTCACTTTGTGGCTCAAGTAGAGTTAACTTCTGTATTTAAATCATAAACATTTTTGGGAAAATTTTCCTTTTAAAGTAGAACATTTTAAAGCTTGAAGTTACAAAACAGATTTAAAAACTTCCTATAACTTTGTGTCTTTGATAATAAATTAAAGTTTTATAATTTTGATGAAGGAGCTGCTTTTAAAGGGAAAGGAAGAAAGCTATCTTATATTTTTAGGGTGTCTAGACATCAGCTTAAATTCCGACTGTGTATTGTTTTGTTAACTCATTTATGTTTAGGAAATATGGGCCACAGGCGTTGGGCACGGGTAGTGGCCAGATGCCCCCCTCCATCCCCATTTCCAAACACATTCACAGATACACTTACATGTGAGAAAGCAAACACACCCACACGAAAGTGGGAAACCCTGCAGGTCAGGCTCACACACATGGCCAAATAAACTTTGAATAAGCATTTCATGTGCCCCAAAACGAGAGGCCTTTCCCCCCGATTCCTTGTAATTCTGGCCACCACCTCCGCATCGCATTTCTGGCGAAAATCTCCACATAAATCTTCAGAATGTTTGGCCAGCCTCCAGGAGGAAAACAGCCTTTTCCCCGCCTCATCTTTACCATTACACTTATGGGGCAGTGGGGCAAGTAAGCGTAGCTGTGTATAAAATAATAAAAAAAAAAAACTAGGGAAGGGGAGAAAACAGAGGGGAACACACTGAACGTGGCACGAAATGGCCAACTAGTTCTCGTCTAGGAAATATTCAATTTCCCCGGCTCATTAAAATTAAATAACTAAGCTCAGGCGAGCCTGCCAAGGAGGAGATCAAGGTATAGCCGTGGTAGTACTACTATATGAGAAGGAGGAGGGGTGGAGTCGAGGGAAATTTAATTGAAGTGCAAGAAAACTTAATTGAGCCAAATAGTAAAAGCTGTGTGGTTTATTAATGACGTACATAGATGTGGAATGTTTGTAAAAACGATTTGAAAGAAATAAATATTTGTACTTTTTAATAAACTTTATAAAATGTAATAAGGGTGTAAAATCTAAAATAAAATCACAATAATTAATACTTCTCATTTTAGTTATTATTAAAATAGATGTAATTTATTTTATTTTAATTATAATGTGCTGCACATGATCCTGTGATAAATTCAAAGAAATGAATTGAAGAAAAAGCTCTCTTAGCTTTTCATTCCTGCCGCAAACCGTCAAGAGCTTTTGTTGAAAAATAATGGAAAATGCGAAAAGGAAAGCTCTCCTTGCTACGGCAGAAAAATGCATTGAAACAAAGATATGCATTTTTCATATTAAAAATACAACCAGCTTTCTTACGTTTTAATATTTAAGAAATAAAGAGACACAAAATGGAGAATATATAACTCGATTGGCATTATTTATAATAATTTAAGCTTCTCACCATTCCGTATTTTATTCAAAATCCCTTTGTTATAACTTCGTTAAATTATTTTTTCCCTTTGGTTTTCAGTGACTCCCAACCACGGACCGAAGATAACCGGCGGACAGCCGCGCTACCAAATCGGTGACACCGTCCGCGTGAACTGCACCTCGTCGCCGTCCAAGCCCGTCTGTCACCTGAGCTGGCTAATCAACGGAGAGCCGGTGCAGAAGGCACACCTGCGCCAGTACGACAAAGTTGTGGTGAACCGCGATGGGCTGGAGATGGCCAGGCTCGGATTAGAGTTCCGAGTGAGAGCCTACCACTTCAAGCATGGCGATATGAAGCTCAAGGTGGATATAAACTCAAAAAAGACAAACATTTTTTTTAAATTTTAAATCTTGAAATAATTATTTTAATTTCTTTCCCACAGTGCGTGGCCAAGATCAGCTCGCTTTATCTGCAGAGCAACGAGGAGAGTGTGGAGAGCGATCGCCAGCAGAGGGCACCGGCCCTGGAGTCTCGGGAGACGGTGGCCGCCAAGTCCAGCACGATTGGTATAGCCCTGAAACAGATATATATAATTTCCAGAAGAAACAAAATCTAATCAACCTATTTTTCTTTAAAGGTGGAGCCTCCTCCCAGGTGCCTTCCCACGTCGTTTCACTACTGCCTCCGTTATTCCTGCTGCTGATCTTTCAAAACTGGACCTGGCCCCGTGACAGTTAACTACCCCCAAGAATAAGGATCGCACGGACTAAGACCCATAGGCCGGCAGAGCAGTTCGAAATAGCAGACATATCCTATGCCAAAATCTTCGAGACAGAAATCATATTAATGACTTAAAAACCTAAACTTTGGTTAAATTTAAAAATTCAATCGATGTGTGTGTGTGTGTGCATGAAATATGGGAAAAATCCCCAATTAAACGCCAGATATTGTAGCGAAATATCGGAATCGTAACTACTCAATGCGAGCATTTAAGCAGAGGCTAAGTCAGTGTAAATATTTATTAGTAGCCTTAAGGATATTATTGATAAAAGGAACTCGTTGTCTAGGCAGAACCTTGGTTGACCTTTTGTGATATTTTCTTCATTTTGAAAACGAAGGGAAGCAGGGCAAGGTAGAATTTTGTTTTGAATGTTCCTTCCTTTCTCGCATTTTGTCAACCATTTTTGGGCATATCAAACGCAACAAAGCATTTCAATTGTAAAAATACATATTTGCACCTTAATCTAGACTCGAAATCACAGCTAAAACCTAACCTACGCAAACTTTGAAACCATTTAAAAGGCGTCTAAGTTAAGTACGTAAGTAAATGTAAGAAAATTGTAAAGCAAAAGTCTAAACGTAAAAACAAAAAACTGAGAGAAAATAGGAAAATACCCTTAATGTAATACCATTCTTAGTGTAAGTTAAACTAATAATAAGCAAGACACACGTTTGCATTCCAACAAAATCCCCAAAGAGAAATATTACAAATAAGGAAATTTGAAAGCTGTAAATATACAGAGATAAGGCCAAGGATTGAATAAGTTTAAAACTGCGAAATTTTGGCAAAGGTCTCTATTTAAATGTGTGTGTTTGTATTAACTGAATGTAATCAGCTGCCAGATCAATGCCAAGCTGCCAGATCTATATTGCTGGTATTACTAGAAGGTTTATGTTACAGGGAATCAGATAATTCCTTTGCTTTAATAATCATTTCCAAACTGAAACCCATTCAAATGAATTTCTCTAACTGTTAACACGTTTTAAAAACGCCAAAAAAAAACATTAAAAATTTTTTAAAATATTAAAAAAAAAACAATGAAGATGAACGAGGAGGTAATATACACAGACCAGCTGCTGCACCACCGGTGTGTCTCCAGTCAGATCGAAAAGACACGCGACTCCTGGAACCGTACCGCCTCCTGGTATCCAGAAGCGCAGAAGCAATTCTATGATCGCTATGCCGAAATCTACACGGAGAGTCTGGAGAAGTACGGGAACGATACCTATGAATACTACGCCAGGAGGAATCGCCTGAGGGACGAGTACTTGGTCAATACCCGGGCGGCAAGAGCACAAAACCGCCGGGAGACGGAGATCTCAATGGATCATATCAAGCGCTGCCGGGCATCCCCCACCACAAACGGGGAATATGGAAGGATTCAGCCCATGCGTCTTTTTTACTGTTTTCCCTAAACTGTATTTCATTGTGTTGCTGTTTCAATTCAATCAATGGCGTTTCAGAGAAGAAAGAAAAATGATTTTAATTAAAATCTGTGAAATCTTCATAGTGCAAGCCTGCCCTAAAATCAAATAGTATATTTAATAAATTTGAATGGGTTCAAGGAAAAGTTAATGATATCCTTTTATGTTTTCTTCAGTTTTATTTTTATGAAACTCCTAGTTGAATTTAAAACAAGTAATACTTATGAGAAATTTTACCTTACATTTCACAAATTATTCTTTAAATATCAATATCTTTATGGTTGACCAAGTTTCAGCAGCTTAAACTTTCGTGTCTGTTGAGTCACCCATTTTAAAAACAGAGCCCTTAATTTTCGCCATGAGAAATTATCCCCGTGCATGATACTAATCCCTTGGCTTATGCTAATTCGGCTACAACTGAGTCAGACCCTTTGAGGTCCAAGGAGGTGGAAATTGTCAGACATGCAAAAATGGCAAAAATGCGCAACAAACCGCATTCGAATGCACTCGAGTCCAAACAAAGTGGCTACAGTTCATGAGTCATGAAAGAAAGGGTTAATATCGCATGCCTGGCAAACTCAAATGGGCGTGAGAAAGGCAATCATTTGCATACAAAGCCGTTCGATTGTGGGTCGAAAACTGTTTACAAAAGGCCAACAAAACAGCTGCAGGTCGTGGCTTAATTTGCACACATTTTAGACAATTTAGACGCCCAGCTTGGCATTGATGGACGACTGACCGGGGGATGAGCCCCCTCAAACTAAGCCAAAACGAGTGTTTCTTGTACATAGCCAGCGGTGTTTGAACTCAAATTTACCTAGGATCTAAGCAGAAAAGTCCTCGGCAACTCTCTAAGCATAGTCTCCACTTAAGTCTAAGCGAATCTTGTGCGTGTTGTAAATTTAAAAATAATAAAAATACAATGAAAACTATGACGGAAACGGAAACCAATTCAACAAAAGGTGGTAACTAAAACTGCCTGGTGGTTGATTGTAGCTAAGTCAGAGAACTAAACCTTCCTCCATTTACCTTCATTAGTGAACTTTGTTAACCCTTAATTTACCCATTTTTTTGTAAGTATTATTAACATTTAATGTTTAACAATGAAATAAAAACAAGTTAGTTTGTAAAACTAAACATGAAAATGAGAAATAAACTAAGTCAAAACGAGACAAGCAAAAGAGAGTTCGTCTTTTAAAAAATTTAATAAACCTTTGGGGGCATAGCAGGCAGATTGTAAAGTTATCAGTCACTGAAATACACTTCAACTATACGTGCAAAATAAAAAAAAAACAGGAAGAATACAACAGCACCATTAATATATACAAAACATGTTGGTATTTTTAATTCACTTCGCACTTCGCTTTAATGCAATTACATCCTTATTTTTTAGTAATCATGACAGATCCCGAGATCGTATTTATGGATCAGCTCCTGCACCACCGTGCGGTGTCCAGTCAGATCGAGAATACCCTATTTAACTATGATAGGCGGAGCTCTTGGTTTCCACGTTCCCAGTGGGAACAGTACTCCCGAATCTCCGAGATATATGCCGACTGCTTCGATAAATACGGAGCGGAAATATTCGGGCTCTACGCGAAAAGGAATCGCCTTCACGAGAAATACATTCAGAGAACTATGGCTGATATTCAGAAGGAAAATCGACAGGTGGAAATTTCCATGGACCATTTGGCGGCCTACAAGTTTCCAAGGACGACCAACGGGGTATATGGAAGTATTCGCCCATCTAAATTATTCTTATGTATGGAGGAACCTAATTGATTTTTTAAATGTCTTCGTATTATATATATTCAAATAAATATTCACAGGGAATGCAAATGCAAACATTTTTATACGGTTTTATAAGATGAATTCAGATTTTTACAGTGAAAACAAATTGGTTTTTAGTTGTTTAAATTGATCTATGTCAATTTTATTCATAGCATAGATCATTTTTTGGTTATTTATATTCTGGTTTGGACTTACTTCAATGTGCCCCTCTAGTAATCAGATTTCCAGGCTTAGTAATATGGGATTTTCCAGCGCTTTTTTCAAATGATTCAGAAAGCGATTATTCCTCGATTTACCCCTCTTTGACACACAGTTGCACACACACTCATTATCAACACTTGTGCGCATTATGCAGAAATTTATGGCGGAAGCATTTAGGCATTGAGCGACTACAAAGAGACACTAAAAACTGCAGTAAACCATGGAAATGGCTTTTCGGGACGGGGAGCTGGCGCGAAGGGTTTGTGGCGTGTTTGAAATTAATTTTGTATATACATATTACCCGTCCCAGGGCGGCACTTTGGCGGTACTGTCGAGCCCTTGGCTCGTAAATTGGTAATGTTTGTAAGCCCCGTTTTATGGGACGGCGGTGGCCCAGTCTGTTTACCATAATTACCTGTTTATAATTAATTAAAATGCAATAAGCGTAAATTTGATAAAAGTGCCATGCACATGCTTACCCGGTGGCGTTAATTTCGTGCCACTCCCATTTCAGCTCCCCTTTCCACAACGTCAGCAGTTTTAAACCAATGCACCTAAATATTATAATTAGTTTATAGTTATACTCTTAAAAACAATTTACATTTGCTGGAAATAGTTTAAGAAAAGATATAATATATATATTATTAATATAAATAGTATTTTATCATTATATTGCATTGTTACTTTATAAAATTACAACAATTGGGTTGTAACTAGTTAGGACAGCGACTTGAATTATTATTTAAAGTACTAAACATGATATTTAATTAGGTTAGAATTTATTTAATTAAATATAAATATTTTTGTAAAGTGTATATTCGGCGACCTATTACTGCAAATGAAATTAAATTGATGAACTATATTACAATCGGCCAGATAAAGCGCCATAATGTGAGGCCGGAACAAATGCATAAATTATTCAATGGTCGTGCGAAGGAAAGGAAGCCCTGCCTTTACTGTATTAGTGTGGAAACCGCGTGAAATTGCAGCATAAACACATTGGTTAATGCAATAACAACCATTTCGGTGTGTTTGTTGTTTTTCGCCCCGTCTGAGCCACGCTTATTGACCATGAATAACTTACGGAAATGCAACACGAACTGTGGTACCACTCCTCGCTCACCCGCAAAATGCACCCTTTTACCCGCAAATTGATGATTCACTGTGTGTGTGTGTGTGGTGCTTGTGGGGTAAATACGTGTGAAGTTTAATTGCGGTGACATTTTGATTTATGACGGCAAAAGGGAAAGCTGCCATGACGCATCCGCCATGTTCGGGGGTCTGTTGTAGTAAAGGCTTCGACGTTTCGAGTTTGGAAATACACCTTTCACTGATGTGGCAGTTATATTTTAATTTAAATTACTCTCTTATTTAAGGTAGGAGTAAAATGTTTCCCTTATTCCATCGATTCTAAAAGTATTAATAGCCTTTAGTTTCCCTGGGCACCATAGTTTTATCTTCCATCTTATCAGGAGATTTCATTACTGAATTGGGGTGCCTGACTTTAACGCTTCATCGCCACAAACTAATTTACTTAGCTGAAGGAAAAACATGGATAGCCGAGTCAGTACTCCGAAATGGTTCACTGGGTCCATTTGCTGCTAAAATCTTCCTACTTCTACGGCCTTGTCATTGGAGTTTCCAACTTTGAGTTCGACTGGCGGACAGGACGCATCTTCACAACCGCCAGGAGCACCCTGTATGCGATCGTAAACAACGGCATCATTGTGCTGCTCCTGGTCGTCTATATGCATGGGGGTTCCGATTTCGCTGCTCGCCTTTTTAAGGCAAATAAATTGAACGAATATGTTGTCATAATCATGACTGGACTGAGGATCGCTGCAGGTGGAATTTTGTTTTCTGAAATTACATTGCTTACTCTCCTTTTATTTCTTCAGGAGCCCTCACGGTTTTCAGCCGGTGGAGCCAGCGGTGCGAGCTAAAGAAACTTGTCAGAAATGTGATTAGCCTGGTGCAGGCCAAGCCGCAGTTGCTCCAAATGTCCCGATGGGGTATTCTCATCAAAATCTTTACGGGCTCTGTGACAGACCTGCTGCATATGGCCATTACTTTCGATCAAATCAGTGTTGTAGAATCCAGGCTTTTCGTGGGCTTATGTCTTCAGTTCTGGATGGCAGCCCTTTTGAATTTGGCACTTTCGCAGCACTTTCTAGTGCTGCTTCTCGCTCGAGCACAATATAATATGGTCAACACGGAGCTGCGACAGGTGATCGATGAGAGCAGGCACCTGAGCAACCATCGCCCACGAAATGGCACCCTTATGTCCAGGTGTTGCCACCTTGCAGATAAGTTGGAGGATATGGGAAAAGTCCAGAGTAAGCTGCAGGCGATTATTAGCCAATTGGGAGAGATATTTGCCTTTCAGGGTATAATGGTTTATGCCGGGTACTACATAACCTCGGTGGGTGGCTGCTATCTGACCTACAGTATCATCACAAATGGTATCGAGAAAATTGGACTTACTCAAACAAATATCATTCTGTCGTTTATATGGTGCTTCTTCTATTACCTGGACGCTATAATCAATCTCTTCATTGTCCTAAATGTCCAGGATGATCATAAGAAGATGATGCGACTGTTGGAGGAGCGAACTCTGTTTGCATCTGGCTTGGATGTCCGTCTGGAAGAGACTGTAAGACGCCTTTTTATACCTTACCAAAATATAAAAGTAATTATTCTCCTCTATAGTTTGAAAGCCTACAGCTGCAGCTTATAAGAAATCCTCTCAAAATGGAAGTCATGAAATTGTTTTCCGTAACTCGGAGCATGACCACGGCCATGTGCGGATCTCTAATAACTCACTCAATATTTTTGATTCAATATGACATGGAATATTTTTAGCCTGAAAAAAATAATTATTAAAACTAAAAAGCTGCTTTATCAAAGAACCTAATATGCTTTCTTTATAAAAATATTTTTAGGTATGTATGTATATTAAACCGAGGCATTATGGCTTTCGAAAATATTGCCCAGTATATTAGTATTAGGAAAAGTGTTTTTAATCTTTTATTGGCTTAATTTAATTTACTTCTCAATATACTAAGTTCGGAAGTATTTTTACCAAAATTACAAGCACATTTATCTTTAGAAACCGAACATCCCTTAGTTGAATACCCACTACTCTAGCTTGTTTGTCTTATCAATCTATGTATCTTATCGTGATCTCCCCATTCAGTGCCTATTGAATTAGAACAATTACCTTTCATTGCGAGCCCGAGACTGTTGGTAGTTCTCCGAAATGCTTGACTGGGTCGGTTTGTTATTGAGGACTGTCCTGCTTTATAGCAAAGCTATTGGAGTTACTAATTTCGAGTTCGACTGGAGTTCAGGACGCGTGTTCACGACTTCTTTATCTACGCTATATGCCACTGTCGTTAACTTTATTGTTGTGACTCTTCTGGGCTACCAATTTACTGGGAGTTCTAGACTCTTCGGGAACGTCAGCAAGCTACACGAGTATGTCATCATTGTTTTGACCGTACTGAGGATTATTGCAGGTTTGAATACATTACGTGTATTTTAAATAGTCATAGTGTTATTTTAAAAGACCTATTAAAGTTTGTAAACAATAAAATTAATTCTCGTTTTTAACCTATTGTCAGGACTCATCACACTGCTCAACCGATGGCGACAGCGGTGTCAACTGATGAAGCTGACCAGTAGGTTTATCCGCCTCTTTCTGTCCAGGCCGGAGGCTCTCAGGATATCTCGATGGGCCATTCTCGGCAAGTTCCTTGTGGCTTCTCTGACCGACTTTCTTCAAATTGCAATCTCCTTGGAAGCTATTGGCCGTGTTGACTCCACGCTGTTCTTGGGGATGGGCCTGCAGTTCTATTTGTCCGCTATACTCAACCTGGCAATAGCGCAGCATTTTCTTGTGATGCTCTTCGTTCGGACGGATTATCAGCTGCTCATCAGGGAGCTGCGACAGGTGATCGGGGAATCCAAGGGTTTGAGCTACCACCAACAGCGAAAGGGAGCCTTTATGACCAGGTGTTGCGACCTGGCGGACCAGGTGGAGGATATCGCCAGACGCCAGAACGAGCTCAATTCGATTGTGGATCAGTTGCATGAGATCTTTGGGATTCAGGGGCTAATGGTGTATGTTGGCTATTACATATCTGTAGTGTCCACAACCTACCTGACCTACAGTGTTTTCAAATATGGCTACACTGACATGGGGTTGACCCATAGATCTGTCTTCTTAGCCCTGACTTGGTGCTTCTTTTATTACCTGGACGCCATCCTCAATTTTTTCACGACTCTAAGTGTCCTGGATGGCCACAAGGAATTGGTTCGTCTGATGGAGGACCGAACTTTGTTTGCGATTGGCTTGGATATTCGACTAGAACAGTCTGTAAGTTATCAATCGTTAATATTCATATGGAAACTACATTTTAATATTTATGTTTTCTAGTTTGAGAGCCTTCAGCTACAACTGGCAAGGAACCCATTAAGAATGCAAATAATGAAAATGTGCACCATAAGTCATAGCGGAACTTTGGCCATGTTTGGATCCCTTGTTACACATTCCATAATTTTAATTCAATATGATATGGAGAACTTTTAAGTATTAACTAAATAAATGCTTTATCGAAAAGGATTAAAGTTCCAATGTCACCACTAACATTTGTATATGAGTAGTTGATTTATTAATGCATAATCTTATATCTAATCAAGAACCCTCCGTCTGAGATCAGCGCAAGTCATAAATCGATTTATATTCCCAAACAAAACTATTATTTGTTCAGTTCTCCAAAATGCTCGACTGGGCCGGTTTGGTGCTGAAGGCTATTTACTACTATGGCCACTTAATAGGACTCAGTAACTTCGAATTCGATTGGAGAACTGGTCGCGTTTTTACGGCTGCCAGAAGCACTCTTTTCGCCATTGTGGCTAACGCCATTATAGTAATTCTCCTGGGTTTCCTGCTCACCAGGCCAATTAATTTTAGTCTGATCTTTGGGAACTCGAATAGACTGCACGAGTTGGTTATCATTACTATGACCTCATTACGGCTCACTGCAGGTAAGACGGCACATCTTTTACGTTTTATTGAAAGACTTAGTTCGAAGAGATACGAAAAAGAAAATCTTTCATTCGATATTTTATAATGTATAATGAAAACTATTTAGTAATATATATAGTACCGAACCTTAATAATAATAATTATAAAACTTTCAAGGGCTTTCTACTGTTCTCAACCGTTGGCGCCAGCGAAGCCAGATGAAGGACTTGGTCAAAAGAATTCTACGCCTTTTCTTGGCCAGGCCGCAGGTGAAAAGGATGTCACGCTGGGGACTTCTCATCAAGTTCCTCCCAATTACTGTGACTGACATTCTCCAGGTAGCAATCACCCTGGATGCCATTGGTCGTGGCGACTCGACGTTTTTTCTAGGAATGGGCTTACAGTTATGGGTGTCGGGTATTCTTAATCTGGCCATATCGCAACATTTTCTCGTGATGCTGTTTGTTCGGGCGCAGTATCAGCTGCTTAACATAGAGCTGCGAAAGGTGATCGATGAGAGCACGGAATTGAGCTACCATGCCCCACGGAAGGCAGCATTTATGACCAGATGTTGCAACCTAGCGGATCGGCTGGAGGATGTAGCCAAGCTCCAAAGCCAGCTGCAGACGATAGTAACCCAGTTGGGAGAGGTCTTCGGCATCCAGGGAATAATGGTGTATGGTGGATACTACATATCATCGGTGGCTGCCAGTTACATGACCTACAGTATCGTCAAGAATGGTCCCGAGAACTTAGGAATGACCTACAGGTCTACAGTCCTAGTTTTCACCTGGTGCATCTTTTACTATTGGGATGCAATTCTGAATCTCTTTATTATGCTGTACGTGCAGGATGATCACAAGGAGATGATTCATCTTTTAGAGAAGCGAACTTTATTCGCGTCTGGACTGGACGTTCGTCTGGAGGAGTCTGTGAGTTCATATTTAATCAAACTTAATGATTAATACAAACTTGGTTAATATTTGATTTATTCATTCAGTTCGAAAGCCTCCAACTGCAGCTAATACGGAACCCTCTTAAAATTGAGGTGCTGAAAATATTCAGCATAAATCGGGACTCCACGTCAGCAATGTTTGGATCTTTAATAACACATTCAATATTTCTTATTCAATATGACATTCAATTCTTTTAAAGTGAATTGGTTATTTAAAAAAATTGACTTTGTTTTTTAGTTATTTATTGGGAACAGTCTTACATTTTTCCTAGACATCACACATAACTTTTAATCCCTTTATGTAAATGAAACAAGTTTTTATATAATATACCTACGAATGTCAACATTTCAATCTCTTATATACGCTATCAGGTGATAACTGAAGCAACTTTGTGAGTTCCGAGTCAGTTGGTTCGTCATGAAATTGTGGTTAACCACAAATACCAGTGTCATTAGTTTATGGGCCTATCAAAGGCAATGGGCGTAGTTATTGCCTATTCCTAAAATTAATTACATTACATTTTTACATTAAAAGGTGAGGATTTAGCTTTAGTGGCACTACAAACGTCGTGAGAGAAGCATGGACTTTGGTGGAAAATTGTACAGTAAATGGCAAACGCGCCTCCTGCGATGGTTTCTGTTGTGCATCTGCTGGTCAACATATATCCTTTATCGCAGCTTTGTCGTCGGACAGATAAAGTACGATCGGAAGAGCGGAGCAATGGTTATCCGACCTCGAAATACCTTGACGATACGAATTGCTCTACTCCTGAAAGTATCTATATTTATTTTTGGAAATTGTGGAGTACAATACGTAATGGTAGGGCTAATACCATGGCTTACAAAAATTATGGACATCACCCTGCAAGATCATTTCCTGGAATTTCTAATAGAAGCGGTTGCCATGTATATAGCACTTAGGAACATCTGGCGTTTATATACTTGGCTACGTAGCCTGTCCTGGAATCGGACCTTTGTGCGTTTGGTGAATGTAGTTATTCATTTAGAAACTTCTGTTGAGGAAACTTCGGGAGCTCCCCGCTTGGAGGGAATCATCCTATTATTTGTTTACGTGTTTGCATTACAGTTGACACTGCTACATATTACCAACCTTATGCGCAAAAGTACGTTCTTTTTGGTCGTCAATATTCTTCTGCAAGAAATGTTTTATAACGCGTACGTAGCATACCTTTTTCTAGTGCTATCCTGGATAGCCTTATTCAATAACTTCCTTGAGGTGGGTAATTAATGTAACAATATACCCTTTGCTTATACAAGAAGCACCTTTCTGTTTCCAGAGCTACCGGATGATGGCATTACCTGTCCTCCAGCAATGCCAGAAAATCCGACAGATACTTCACTTGTATTCAAGGATCAGCAATGCGCACCAAGACATTATTGTCCTCTGGCTGCCAGTGGCCAATGTGCTCTTCTCTAACGTGGTAATGATGATGGGCCACTGGGCCTCTATCATCAACGTCGTTCTGTATAACCACGACTTAGACACGGCCGGGAAGTGGAATTGGGTTCTCAAGCGACACTTGGGCGGTGCGTTAGGCCCGCTTTTAAAGATTCTTCTCATTGGTTTGTGCAACGACCGATTGGCCCAGCTAGATAGACGCCTGAGCCTGCAGCTCCTGCTCATCGATTTGAGGCTCTTAGGTGATGGTGACAGATCGCATACTTTCGCCAAGGAGCTCACAATTCTGGTATTTACTCAACACAAAACGATTTGATTACAAATTTTCTAAATTTGAATCATCCCCCAGCAAACTTGTTTCGATCTACAGCTGAGAGCCCAACCTCTCAGGAATCCAATAATGTGCAAACACCAGATATGCGATAGCCCTTTCGTCTTGGAATTCGTTTTCTGCGTACTGGTGAATGCTCTAAGCTATGTGCAGTATGGGATGTCCATGGCAATAACCCTGGACTTTCAATCCAGTATTAGATTAATGGCAATTAAATACTAAATGTAGAGTATTTTGATGGTGCTTTTTAGTATCCAAAGCTTAATATGGAACATATTTTAAAATAAGTCTTAACTCACGTCTGGTAGGAGATATGTATACAAACTGCTTGCTGCCTCCAGCTGCAACTAGTTAGGAACCCCAAAAAAATGAAAATATTGAAAATATTCATTATATCTCACAGCTAAACTCTGGCCATGTTTGGATCTCTTGTTATACATTCTATAATTTTAATTCAATATGATATGGAGAATTTTTAAGTATTTATTTATTATATGCTTTATCGGAAATTATTGAAGTAAATTGAATCGATGCATAACTAGTTTTGATCTCATCATTAGCAAATGTTGATTTATATTTATTTAATTTTTTTGTGCTGTTTTAAGTTTTCGGAATAGTCTTAAATTTTTCTTAAAAGTATGCATATCGACGCATTTCCGCGACAGTATCGTACGTCGCTTTTTTTCGAAATTGATATTTTAATGCGAAATTGTTAGGCACCTAATGTCTCACTACCCTGTGAAATATTATAACTGAAAACCCTATAGTTCCGATAAAAATTAAGTTTAAATTTTATCGTTTGTTCAGTGCTTCCTAAAAAATCAAACCAAAAAAAAGCTTCTCCTGTAAAATTTTAAACATACGATACATTCGCGAAAATGCGTCGATATTTATTAACCCTTTTTTTTAATTAACATTTTTTCTTATATAATACACCTACGACTGAATATTTCAATCTCCTAGGTTGGCAACTGGCTGTCAACTCACAAACTTGTCACGGTTATAAGCTGAGCACCCGGTCATAGCTCAGCTTTCGTTTGGTTATGTTTCAGTGTCATTTAGTTAATGTGAATATGCTCAACAGTAATTACATGACCAACCATTATTAGCTCAGGTTTTAGCTTTAGTGACACTCCAAACGCCGAAAGAGAAGCATGGACTTTGGCGGCAAATTGTGCAGTAAATGGCAAACGCGACTCCTGCGATGGTTTCTGTTGTGCGTTTGCTGGTCAACATATATCCTTTATCGCAGCTTTGTCGTCGGACAGATAAAGTACGATCGGAAGAGCGGAGCAATGGTTATCCGACCTCGAAATACCTTGACGATACGAATTGCTTTGTTCCTAAAAGTGTTGTTGTTTATTTGTGAATATTTGGGGATACAATACTTTATGGTAGGGATATCTCCATTAATGGCATTTTCTCAAGACCGCTCCTGGGAGTTCCTGAACACATTGATTGAAGCGGTTGCCCTTTATATAACATGTTGGAACATCTACCGTTTATATAACTGGTTACGTAGCCTGGACTGGAATCGGTCCTTTGTGCGTTTGGTGAATAAAGTTATTCATTTAGTATCTGCGGTGGAGGGCACTTCGGGGCCTTTTCGTTTGGAAGGATACGCCCTACTTATTATTTACGTAGTTACATTAGAATTTACACTGCTGCATATTATCAACCTCATCCGCCGAATTCAGCACTTATTGGTCGTCGATATTCTTCTGCAAGAAATGCTGTATAACGCCTACGTTGCTTACCTTTTTCTGTTGCTGTCGTCTATCGCCTCATTTCATCGCTTTCTTGAGGTGGGTAACTACAGTAACAAAATACGCTTTGCTTATACAAGAAGCGCCTTTCTGTTTCCAGAGCCACTGCATGATGGCATTACATGTCCTCCAGCAACGCCAGAAAATCCGCCAGATACTTCACTTGTATTCAAGGATCATCAATGGGCACCAGGACATCATTGTCCTTTGGCTGCCAGTGGCCAATGTGCTCTTCTCTAACGTGGTAATGATGATGGGCCACTGGGCCTCTATCATCAACGTCGTTCTGTATAACCACGACTTAGACACGGCCGGGAAGTGGAATTGGGTTCACCAGCGACACTTGGGCGGTGCGTTAGGCCCGCTTTTAAAGATTCTTCTCATTGGTTTGTGCAACGACCGATTGGCCCAGCTAGATAGACGCCTAAGTCTGCAGCTCCTGCTCATCGATTTGAGGCTCTTAGGTGATGGTGACAGATCGCATACTTTCGCCAAGGAGCTCACGATTCTGGTATTTACTCAACACAAAACGATTTGATTACAAATTTTCTAAATTTGAATCGTCCCCCAGCAAACTTGTTTCGATCTACAGCTGAGAGCCCAACCTCTCAGGAATCCAATAATGTGCAAACACCAGATATGCGATAGCCCTTTCGTCTTGGAATTCGTTTTCTGCGTACTGGTGAATGCTCTAAGCTATGTGCAGTATGGGATTTCCGTTGGAAAAAACATAGACTTTCAACATAAACTTAGTTTACTGCCAGAATAAATGAATAGTAAATGTAAAGTATTTTGGTTGGGAATTTCCTAGACTTTAACGCAGCTTCGACGTTGTCTTGGTATATTTATATATATTTAACAAAATAAATGGTTTATCAGCGTTCCCTTTAAAGTTTCTATTTTTTTTGTCTATAAACTGTTTCTATATTCAGGCTTAGGAAAGGAAAGAACAACAGAACTAACCTTGTGTATTAATTTAGTTTATAGTCCCTGACCCTGCTAAGCATTACTGGATGTATAAGACATAGGACATGTAGGTCTGTAACCTATAATAATGACAAATAACAACAAATTGGGTGCCGAACTAAACTTCATTTCTCCTTCCATTTTAATAGATAATTTGGACTAATGTCAAGTTTCCATGTTGCTGATAATGCTACATAACAGGCCATTAGTTGCCATTTCCATCGTACTCTCACCCCATTTTCCCACATATACCATTTTTAGTTGGTTTGAGAATGCCTGAAGAGAAGTATGGGTCGACTCGCAGAGCTTCATGTGGGAAATGGAGATCGCGTCTGCTGCGGTGGTCTGTCTTGGGCATCGGATGGAGCACCTATATCGTGTATCGCAGCTTCGTAGTTGGACAGATAAAGTACGACGCACTTACCGGAAAGATGATTATTCGTCCCCGCAATATGTGGATCAAGAGGATTGCTCTGGTCCTGAAGATATCGGCAATGTGCGTCGACAATTTTGGCTTGGTATATCTCACTATAGCGTGTTTTCCATTGCTTTTCATATCGTCGGGTGATTTGAACCATCCAAAACGCCTTTTTGAGGACCTGGTGGAGGCCGTAATTTTCCAGATTGCTTTTTGGAATATCGGCCGTTTGTATTACTGGCTGCGTAGCCTGTCCTGGAACAGGTCCCTTGTGCTTTCAGTCAATGAGGTTATCTGCGTGATGTCCTTAATTGAGGAGACGTTTGGACCCCTTCCAATAGATGGACCTGTCCTGCTAATCATATTTGTGGTGCAGTTTGATCTGACTGTTCTGCAGATCGCCGAGTATCTTTACGGAAAGATGTTTGTCTTGGCGCTTCATACGATACTGCTAGCTCTGTTCTACAACGCGTATATCGCATACCAGTTGTTACTTTTATCCTGGATGGCAACATTCAATCGCTTTTCGAAGGTGAGCTCTACATTAATTAGTAAAATTAATAATATGTTACTTTGAATAAAACTAAAAACCCCGCAGGGCTACCACCAGAAGGGAACACCGACTTGGCAGGAACGTCAGCAGCTCCAACACTTGTTTTGCCTTTACTCAAGGGTCAGCAACGGGCATCAGAACATTATGGTGCTGTGGCTTCCAGTGGCCACCATGCTCTTTTCCAACATCGTGGTCCTGGTGGCCCACTGGTCAATCGTCATCTACTGCGTCCTCTTTATTGACAGTATGAATGCGGTCGAAAAGTGGCAAGACTTTCTCCGGGAACAGCTGGGCGGTAGTCTGACGCCCTTGCTGAGGATTCTTCTCATCGGTTTGTGCAACGATCGCTTGGCCAAGCTGGAGAGATTCTTGAGCCTGCAGCTATTGTTTATCGATTTGCGCTATTCGGGATGTCCAGAAGTCCGGAAAGGGAAGGACTTGGAAGTCAAGGTTAGTAAATTTGATTTATTTATTTTTTAAATTTAATGTTAAAATTTTTATATAAATGCAGCAAACCTGCTTTGATATACAATTAAGAGCTCAACCGATCAGGAATCAAATAATGAGCATGCAGCACGTATGTGGCTGCCCTTTCGTGCTGGAATTCTTCTTTTGTACCTTCCTGAATGCCCTAAATTGTGTTCAATATGCAGTAGCCAATGGAATAAACATCAAAAATTTTTAAGTTTCTATTAGTTCTAAGCCGGAATGCTCGTATTAAAAATATATGATCTGGAAAAACTTTAAGAAACATTAAGAAAAACGGTGAACCCATGACACCAAACTTCTTTCCTTCGTTCTTCAGAATAAATTTAGTCAGCCCCAATTATGTTACATATTCAGTTTAATTTTTAATAAATTTGCAATCTCTTTGTCCCAAAAAATATATAACTTTATATATTGAATTGCGAACATTTAAATTGCACACTCACTTTGTAAGAACAGCCAACTTTATTTGCACACAAATTGCCATTGGCCGAAACAGACCGAATTTAATTTGATTTTGATTTGTATTTCGATTTAAATAATAATCCAATTGTGTAATGGGAAAGGGGAGAAAATAGCAAACTAAATTAATTATTATCATTTTTTGGCCATTTTAGACTCGATGCGAGTGTCAGGAAAAGTTTGCCACTATTTTCCATTGGTCATTTTCTCAAAAATGTTGCTTGTTTGAGCTTGAGCTGGTTTGGTCAGCTCACATAAATTTCAATTAACATAAATTTAATGCCGGCAGACAAAGTTGGCCCCACATGCACACACACTAAGAGCATTTTCAATTATTGTCTGCTGTGGAAAAGTTTGTTTTCGGAACGAAGCACCCTTCCGCCATTTTTCACCCCCCCTCGAGTGCAGCTTTTCCGACAAATCTAATGCACTTGACTCGGGTGAAGGCCTGGCACTTTAAGCCGCATATAGCAAATGGTCAGAGGCAAAGCAAATTGCTGAAAGGCGCTTATGCAAAGCGATCAAAATGCGAGGCGACATAAACACAAGGCGAGGGAGCTGGAGGAGAGAATCCCGACCTCGGGGCAGTAAAACCAATTTGAAATTGTTATTTTAAGCGAAAGTAAATCGCTGGAAAAGGATTGAGTGCAAGTGCTTCAGTGGGTGGGAGTCGTAAAAAAAATCAAATATCGGTGAGTTGGCTCCGGCTTAAGATGGCATTTTGTGGCCAGATAAGCGGGGAAAGGAAAACTTTCCTTTGTTTAGATATATGAAAATTGCCACAACACATGGCCTTCCCCCCGCAGAGGAACATAAAAAATTCCAGGTAACGAAATGTATTTTCTGATGAAATCTGCTCGAGATGAGGATGCGTGCTTGGGTCCCTGTTTCAACGGCCGCATCCGAGAGTTGGGTCCGAGTTGCAAATCTTTGGAAGCCAATAAAAATGGCCAACATAATGAGCCGAACAACTGGCAGCTCGATAAAATGTAAATTGGGGAAAGGATTCACCACGCAACTGATTTTATGTGTTGCCTACTTTTGGGTCCTTGCTAGAATTTGATATCAGGTATTGGAGTCTTTAAAATGGCCTGAAATGTGCTATAAAAAGTACTTTAAAATTGAGTTTATGAGATTAAAGTAAAGAGTATGAAGTATAAAGTTCGTTTATTTAATAAAAACCATCGTTAAAGTCGTTATATTACAATTCTATATCTTTAATATATGTGTCTTTAGTAAGCCAAAAAATAAACCCTACAGTTGCGACGATATTCTCACAAACACGTAACTGCAATGACATGAAATCATTTCCATTTTCCCGGACAAAATGCCTTTTAATGGAACGAGCCGACACCATCTATTGTATGTCCTGCTGCTGCCTGCATAGCCAAAAGTCTAGGAATGGCATCCAGAATACATATAATTTACGGTCCTGGCAATGCCGAATGATGTGCCAGAAATTGCAGGCCCAAACCCCAAGGAAGGCGGCAATTTTTTATTTATTTTTATGAGTAATTTTGTTTCGTTGCCACGCATTTTTATTGCAATGCAAGAAATATGATTGTAGACATCGTACTGTCGACCGTCTATGTTTGTTTGTGCTAAGTCTCTGACATTTTCCGTTCCGCCAGGAGCGGATTTCTATGGCGCTCAGTGTTCTCAAGTCTTTAAGAAACACTGTTGGACTTGGACCTTTAGCTGTGGATAAATAAATCGTCTTGTTTTTAGTTAAAATTATTAAGTAATATTTTTCTTTGAAATAAAAAAAGAAAGTATAAAAACTTTTTACATTGTTATTTATTCAGTTTATATAGTGAGCACAATACGTAGTCCTCGCCCATTTTGGATCCCCTCTTTCCTAGGCTGCGCACCTGAAAAATGCGTGAAAAAAAGCGTGAGGAGCAGTGCTGGGAGAAGAAACCAGAGTAAACAAAAGGCAATTACGTGACAGCGGCAAGGACAATGCCAACTCGCCCAACAAGGGCAGGATAAGCAATCCCAACAACAGCAGCGGGTAGGATGGACAGGAGCTGAAGTGGCACGTAATCTGCCAATGGGGCGTGGCCAATGGACAGTGGCAGACACTTTTATTGCAAATCATTTCAAATGCTGCAAATGATAACAACATAACAATACAACGACGACAACGGCGGCAACAACGAGTGGCAACAAAGAATGACAGCCGGCAACATGACATTGTGTGGATGGAAATCCTGGTACATACGAGAACCTTCTCCCAGAGCTTTCCCTCTTTTCCCGCTTTCTGCTTGTCGTAGGAAAATCGATTTAAGGTGCAATCATCCCGTCTGTCTGTCTCGGATGGACTTGGGTAATGGATAAACCAAGTGGACAGCTATGGAAAAGATTGCTGATAATTTAAGGTGTCGTCTTGAAATTTCCTTTTTATTTCAATTAGTTTAGAACAGGCTTCTTTATAAATGCTCTGGATTATACTAATCCAAATCGATGTAATCTTCTGTATTCTAAATCTGCTAAATCTTAAAGCACAGCACTCCCTCCTCCCAATCAAGTGATTACCTGGCCGAAACAAAATGTCTCTCAAGTTCCCAGACCAAAATGCATATTCCTTCCGATTGAACGAGCTCAATTAAACTTTCGGGCATATCGCCATCAGTTTTTAACAGCTTTCCCTGCCCACTTCAGTAACTTTCAGACCAGGCCCCCTTAATTTGGATGAGCAGCTTAACGTGACATTGGCCGGGGGAATGGATGGCGGGGGGCAATCCAAAAGTTTACCTGTGCCGCAAATTGATGCCGTCTTATCTGTGCGAAATCAAACATGAAACTTTTAAGCCCCAGACAATTGAGCTTAATATGCCGAGAGTATCTCTCGGATACAGATAAAGATGCGGATGCCGGGCGATGACATCCCGAACTACAGATTAAGTGGAGCTGGAATTATGGCAACCAAAACGGCGAATTAGCTCCTCTATTAGCTCTTGTCCCGAAAGAAACGACAACCAAAAATCCCCAGGAAATCTGGCCGTTGTTTTCATTAGATGACAAATCTGATTTATGTGACATTTGATGTCCCAGATAGCAGGTGGGAACTGCCTTCCGTCTGCTCATTTGTGGCCATTTGTCGGCCAGCTAATAAATCTGCGGAGTCATCTCCTGGCATCCTCATATCCTTGTTATAATTTGTTTGGCTTTGTCCTCGGTATTTATCAAATGTTCTTATTTCGCTGGCAGCTTATTAGCGAGGTCCAGCCAGGTCCTATTTCGCACAGAAGCTAAGGTGCGACTTAGGGATAAGTCCACAGATATTTTCTATTTATTTTCTGGCTTTGTGGGGATGGCTCTCCTGTCTTAGTTGGTATTGGGTAAGAAATGTTGCTACATATTCATAGCCTGAAGGCTAAAATTCAGTAATTGCTACGGATTTCATTCGTTCGAAAATTGATTGTTGAATTGAGTATGTTTTATTTAATTAGAAATAGACAGTAATTTCTGTAGCTTAAAATTGTTTCCAAACCTAAAGAAATTATGTAACCTTAATTCTTTAAATTATCTCTCTTCCGTTTTTGGTTTTTCCTGTCTATTTCAGGTCTATTCTCTATGAATTTTCACACCCTTTTATATAAATTTCATGTACGCATAGAACTTCCTGCATTGCTATCCTTCTCCTTTTTGGTCTTTCCTATTTTTGGGTAACTGCTTCTTTTTTACTGCTAAACGTTTCGGGTGCTGCCCCCGTCTCTGTCTCGATTATTTTTTTATTTGTCGCCGAAGGTTGTTGTCACGTTCGCCGAGAACATTTTCACGTATTTGAAATATTTTCTTAAAATTACCCAATTTTCTTTGCGTTGCATCTAGCAAATATAAAAGAGGAATACACCGGAAAAGTATCTTCTTGCAGCTGGAGAGGTTAACTTGTCCTGGCTTTGCAATATAATTGAAGTTGGCTTGAAAGGGGGGAGGAACACGAATTTAATTTTCTTCGGGTAGAAAATACAGATAATTTAAGAGAAATGATAACAAACATACACCCAGGAATTAAAATAGTCAGATTCTAGAATGGATTTTGAAACAAATATGTTTTATTAATGAATTTCCACTCGTTTACTTCACAATTCTTTGTCCGGTTTCAGATCGGCTGCGAATGAGGATCGCACATAGAATGACGCTTAAAGATATTTACAGAGAGTTCTCCCCTTCGTCTGACCCACTGGCTGGCAGTTAAATTCAGTTGAAGTTACTTTATGGCATTTGATTTTAGTTGAGTTGTAAATTATTCTTATTCGCCTACGACGCAGCTTGTAAGGTTTGAATTGTTTACGGGTTCACATAGAGTTTATCGTATAGATTCGAATGCATTCTTGGTTTTATTTCGCTTTTTGCTTTTCTCTTGGCTTTTTATACACCTAAAAGTTGTTATTTAAATACACAAATAATTTACACTTACAATTACCACACATTTATGTTTTGTTTTTCGAATTAACTTTTATGCAATTCATAGTTCTCGTTTTTGTTTTAGTTCTGTTGCATTATCTTTAGGTTTTACGTTCTTAGTAATTTTCATGTTAATTGCAGTTAATGGCATCGATATTAAATAAGACTTAAAAAACCGTTACAGTTGACAACAATGCAGATTTATATGTATGTGTGTGTTTATGTATAGATCATTGCTAAAATTCGCATTCACTCGCACCCATTCACTCGCTCACTCGCACTCGATTGCACTCAATTAGCATTTGAATGTCCGCTCGTCGATATTTAAATGTATAATTTATATTTTATGCTCTGTTTTTTTCGCTTATTATTAAAATTGGCTCTCGTTTTTTGCATACTTTTTGTATTGTTTTTATTTTCATTTCAGTGATTTTGTTGTTCTGCTGCTGACAATCTTAACACTAATTTAGTTAGCTCATAATATTATTTACACACAGAATTTATGGACATCATTATGGGGAAAACAGTACAGAATGCATGGACAAAGCTTCCTTCTATTTACACAATAAAATTAATTTCATTCCGTTTGATTTCGTTTCAATTCGGTCAATTTCAGAACTGATTTCTGCTTTGTTATTAAGGCTTCATCACAATCATTTTTCTATTGTTAAAATTTGTTTGTCATTAACACCGAATTGCTCTTTTGACCTTTTGCTATTGTTTCTAACATTTGGCTAACTAAACTGTTTACGTTTTCTCTGGATGATGGCGAAGTTGAACACGGAATGTTATTAGTTTATTTGGGAGAATCAAACACACACAGAGACACGCACTCACTCGCTTTAGTTAATACCCATTAAGACTTTGGCAATTCATATAAATGTACGATATGTTTTTGTTAGTTTTAAGACTTTTCCAACAGTCACCGAGTTTTAATTTCTAGCTTTGATTAGTTATTTTCTCCTCCTCGTTTTGTTTTTCTTTTAATTTAAAATTAAGTGCATTTTTGGTTTGTTTTTCGTGTGGTTTCCAAGCATTATTCTAGTTTAAATTATTACAATCTTACATTATTTAATGCGAGAAAACGAAAGTTGCTTCGAAATCAACCATGGAAAACGACTTTTTTGTAGGTTTTTTGGGTAAACTTGTGACACGGTTGTACAGTAAGTAACGAAACTATAACTACAACTATATATATATCTGATTTTACCATAGATTCAACAATAATTTCGGCTTAAATTGAGACACATACACGAATAATTAAATCCTACACTAGTTACACTTTCGTTACGGACTGTACATCTCTCGCACAATTCAACCAGAGTGTTTGCTTGAATTTCTTTGTTTAACTTCGCAAAGCTAACATACTCTTACATATTTTCTCCTATTTATTAATTTGTATTTATGTTTATCTTTTGTTAAACTCGTTATTTGCCTTGAACGACATTTGTTGAGGGATTTTAAATCAGTTCCCCAACCATTTTGTGATATTCACTCTGTTTTCGCATGTGTGACAGTTAGCTTAAAAGTTAATAACATACAATACAGTTACATAAATATATATATATTAAATATTAACTATTTACAGATCTTTCTTTCGATTCGCAGTGAGCTAAAACATTTTCACGCTTTTCCATCGCGTACGAATACAGTTAAGTTTCATATAATTGTAATTTATAATCTAAACATTTTGTTTTCTACTGATCTCACTTTTTTTCTTTACAAATTAAATTCATGAAAGCTTTTGTTAACGGCATAAATAAATTTGCGGCGTTTGTTTTGTTTTGCATAACTTGTTTTTTTTTTTTAATTTTGTTGTTTCCTGTTTTTGATTTCCAGTGTGTTGGTTTTGATGTGTTTTTGTATGCAAAGCGAAGACGGAAAAATCGGTGAAAAGTGTGTACTGTGGAGGGAAAGTGCCACGTGCGGCTTAATGCAGCTACCGCGCAGCCATTGTGATTTTTCCCTGCTGCGTCGCGGATTTTCCGTGAGCTATTGGGCAGCTCTTCTCCTCCATCCCGATTTCCTCCTTCTCCTCCTCCTTCTCTTCCTGCCGGCCGGCCAGCAACTCACTCGACCCTGCCCTCCCATCTATCGATAGCTCGTGTATATCCGTTCTGCTCGCCAGGGTTGCCACCGCCACCGCCAGCAGAACCAGGGGCAGGACAAGCGGCGCCGGAACCGCAAATGGCGGGGCCGCGGAGCTGGCTGCATTGGGATGGACGAACAAAAACGATAAGATTTTGGTCACAAAAATTTCCCGATAGGACGTACCTTGGACGGGATCGGCGCGTGAGTTGCTGGCATAGACCGTTTCCCTCGACTCGAGCACCGGCGCCTTCTGCGGGCGGTCGCCCTCCACGGACTCCTCGTTGCTCCGCCAGTATAACGTCGACAACGAGGCGATGCACTACAATAGATCCAACAGATTCGGGGGTTAGCTAGCAAAAAGGCTATGGCATTGGCACACAGTCGAACTTTTTTGACTCGAAAAACCGGTTAAGTGGGGGGTGTTGTATCGAACAAAAGGTAAAAAGCATAAATGTATTCAAGTCCCTATATAATACTAAATAATGAAAACGAAAATGATTCCTTTGTCGTAGAAGAGTAAATCAAAAATCTACTCATGTGGGAGAAATATATACAATGAAATACAAGATATTTTAAAAGATAATACTTTAAACAAAGTCCATGAAATATTTCTCTCAGTAAAACAACATAAGTAAAAGGATTTCTTAAATTAAATACAGCATTTGTCTTAAAATTAAACTTTAAATAAAGCTCAAGTACATTTTTTCCCACAATATTAAAGTACAAAATAATAATAATATTAATAGAAATTATAAATAATTTAAAATAGAATAAAGTAATAATTATTTTGTAAATAAGTTATTAAAAAATATTACAATTTTGGTTTTATTTTCTTTAGTGTGCGATTTGAGCCAAAGTTCGACAGTGTGTTTTAATCAGGACAGGACTTACCTTCAGTTTCATGTCGCCGTTGCGAAAGTGCCTCTGCTCCACCCGAAACTGGAGTCCCAGGACAGAGGTCTCCAGACCGTCCCGTCCCGATACAATGGTGTCATACTTGCGCAGGGTCTGCGGATCTACGGGCTCCTCGTTCACCTTCCAACTCAACTCCACGGCAGGCTTCGAGCGTCCGGCAGTGCAATTGATACGCACATAATCCCCAATCTGGTAACGCGGACGACCACCACTGATTTTCGGGGGTCCTTGGTCCGGCAAAGCTGCAAATCGCATACAAAGAATACCAAAATCATCAGTTATGAGGTTGCCAACAGAATCGAGAATCGGGAAAACGGGAAAAGGGAAATGGGAAATTTCATTTACGGCCGCAGACATTTGGCGGCGACTCCTCTGGTAGCCGGGGGCTAACTGAATTTCGTAATAAACCCAAGCCACCGCAGGAGCAACAAGGGTACCGAACCAGGCAGCAATGCTCCAAAGGGACAACAACGCCAAGTCAGCGAAGCGCAGCCGGAAATTCAATAAAAGTTCCAGCCGCTGATGCACTGACGGGCAATGGGTGAGTGGCAAACGGCAAAAAAAAAAATAAAAGAAAATGCAATAAAATTAAGGGACACTAAAGGCTGTCTAGCTGAAGTGTCAACACTCTTACCAAGGGCTTTATTTTTTTTTTTATTTTACATATACCAATTTCCATTGGAAAAGTCATAAAAAATATATGGGAGTGTACTTGAGATTTTGAAAAATGAGTTTAAATGTCATTATGGAAACAACCTGAACATTGAGAAAACTGAGTGTCAATAAGTTCGTTTAAAGAAAATGTTATCTTATTTAGGCACTAGCCTTAGACCATCTAATCTGGACCATTACGAAAGCTACCTAGGACTTTCTATCTAGATCTATATGGACTCTGTGAGCGGAAACGGAAACGGTTTCGACTTGTTGGTGCTTTTGTCCTTGCTGTTTGCCAAAGGGGCCCCCAAAAAAGTGGAAACTGATGGTCGAGGGTGGCGCCGGATGAGCTGTGCCATATGCCCGGCTCGTTCTGTTGCCGAAGCTTTTAAAAACTTTGATTGAAAGCCAAACAGAAACAGTCGGGACCGCAGTATGAGCAGTATGAGCGGCAGCATAACAACTGAGAGCCAGAAAACAAAAGCACAACAAAAGCCCCCGGTTAGAACAAAGACACAGTCCACAGCTAAACAATGACAAAAAAAAAAAAAAAAAAACAAAAATGGGAATCAGCAGAGGCTGTGGTAGGGAGGAGAGTGGTGGTAAAGGGGGAGTGTTGGCACGCCCACTCTAAAGTTTTATAATTGAACAAACGAAATGTCAACGCCAGTTCAAAGCGCTCCACACAGCACGTGTATTTGTTTGGTAAGGTTGGCAAGAGGAGTGAGGAGAAGGTACACTGTTTTTAGCAGAATTGGGATATCTATGTATACAGTTCTTACAAAAAAAAAAAAGGAAATAGCAAGGAACTTTTTACAAATAAATATTAAAATATTAAATTTTGATTACAATATTTCATTCCAAAAATATTAAGTTATAAATAAATTAATTATAAATTATATATAATTGTTTTCAATTATTTCGGCGCAGTGGAAGGCTGTGGGGATATTTACCCACACTTTAAAGCTGCTGCCCAATCTTTTAGTTGTTGATTTGTGTGCGTTTTCAGTTTTGCGGCGGCGTCTTGAAAATTTTTGGCATTGCCCTGCAGGAAATTTGGACGGAACAAGAGTCCAGCGACGGAACCCGGGACAGCCAAGTTCCAAAATTGAGTTAAACTGTTAAGCCGGGCAAGTTTTGCCAGGGGCTCAAGTTCGGGGAAATCTTGGCAAGTTCACTAAGCTTGTTTGGCATTAGGAGCATAGAATCAAATGAAGCCTGTCAAATGCAGTGCAAATGCTTTTTGACTAAGTAAACACAGTTCCGATTCAATAAAGCTGATTGGTTCAGGCTGTTTGAATTCAGGTGAAGCTACCACCTAACAGTGTCAGGCAAAAGTAAGCTAACGCCAGCCAAGGCCATAGTTAAATCAATGCCAGAGCAGGGAAATCAGGCGGCGGAGATTAACGGAGTTTGTGTGTTTACCTGATTAGTTTCTTTGCTTAAAACGAAACGTTAGCATTTTCTTTTGTACTTCTATTTCAGTTGACAATTTTAGATAATGAAATTATTAAAGACGATTTAAATTTAGCTAAGAATTGCTTAGAGGGAAAAAACTTTTCTTCAGAATGTATGTTTCCTTATATGGACAAATTATTAAAGATGTTTTAAGACGTTAAGTGCCAGTAATCTAATTTGTTTAGTGAAATTTTCCCTTTATTATTTTTAAATACATAAGTTTATGCACACAAAGAATAATTTACAGCAACTCTGATACTGTATCAAGTTTTATATAAATTATATACATTTTCAGATTTAAGTTCAACGGTGCTGCCCACTTTAGGGTTAACCCCATCGCCCGTGACAAGTTTCAAGAATAAAAGTCAAAGTCAGCATCAGTTGCCCAGCCAAAGGGAGTAACTATGTACCTCCCCTCTGCCGCAGCATCTGGGCCACCAGCAGTCAGCGCCAAATGGCCACAATTTCTAATTAGAGTTATAAGTTTTCGCCACGACTTTCAGTTGGCTGCGTACACATACAAACTGGAGGTCTGTGCTGGTTGGAAATATATATGGTACTTACACACAACAACCATGTCGCCATGTTCAGTGACCGTCTGGAAGGAGGGCGCCTCGCCAGAAACCTCGCACCGGAAGCGGCCCGTCGACAGCAGATTGACGTTGCGCAGAGTAACAATCGCGTCGCTCGAGTTGTGCAACTGCAATTAAAAATGAGAACAGAAGGGAACGGTCAGCATTGGGGGAAAATCGGTATGGAAAATTATTTCACGGATCGAAGAAATTAATGTCCTAAAAAATATAAGGATATAAGATATAAAAAATTGATTTTTGAACATTTAAAATACAAATCTTTTAAAAGTTAAGATAATTAATGATCTTAGATTTTATAAACTAGTTTATGAACATAATATTTATTTAATTTAACACAGAAAACATTGGCCTTTAGGAAGAAAATCATATAATAATTCAATTCAATTAAATATTTTTTAGATAAGTTGATATTAACTAAAAAGATTTTCAAAATTAAATTACTATAGGTAATTTTTATCCATTAAAATTTCAAGAATTTTTTTAGTTATGGTACTTTAAGTATACCATGTAGTCTATTTTTAAGCAATTTATTTATTATAATAAACTTTTAAGTATCTTAATCTATAAAAAAAAAAAACTTAAACCAATTTCCAGCATTTGTAAACCTTGCTAAAATACGTTTACTACAAGGAATAATTCCCCTAATTAGGGTATTAAACCAGAAAGCGACCCTGTGCAAAGTGAAATTGTTGAATGATGGCGACGCAGAAGATGGAAGATGGTTAAAATTAATGTAACGAAAAGTGGGGGAAAAGTTGCAGGGCCCCCTCAGCATCCCCTCTGCTGCTTAACTCCCTGACGTTGTCATTGGCAGTTTCAATACCATCAACCAGTGCCGGCGAAAGGGGGGATTCGCAGGAGCCGTGGGGCCCTGGGTCCTGCAGCCACTTTGGACGTTAATGTAACGTAATTGCTTTTGAAAACTGCCGCTGCTTCGCTTGTTTTTCATGCTGCCGCCTTCCTTTACTCACTTTTCGTGTTTTTCATGTTTTTTGTAATTTTTTTTGTTTTTTCGTAAATGCCTTTTAAATGTCCGAGATGTTCAACAAAAAATAAAAACTCGAAGGGTCAACGCTGGGATGTCTGCTGACCAAAAAAAGGGTTAGGCAAATATTTCACTTGAACTTTAAGCCATTAAATCCGGGTCTAAGTGGGGGTGTGGGGATTCGGCGCGGGGTTAAGGAGATCGCCGGCTTGTTGTTTAACCCCTCAAAGCTCCCCGCACTTAGTTATCTGGCCAAGCAGAAAAGTGCACTTTGTTATCTTTTATTGCGCATTCCTGCCCGTTGCTGTTGTTTTAACCTAATTTATAGTTTACCACACAAACACACGGTGAGCCCAGGTAGACCGCACGTCTAAGTCCAAGTTGCCTAGACCAACTATTCCCCAACAGCAATAAAACAAGCCGAAGCAGCAACAGAACCCTCGCCTAGCCGTATGCATCCCCTCCTCAGTCACTCAAATCGATTATGCTAAAACAATATCCAGCCAATGGAGCCAGCACACACACACGGACATCCGCATCAATTGGTTATCGCTAACTGGCATCTTCTGTAACTCCCATCGTACTCCTCCCCACATCAAAAAGTTTGCCGCGAAGCAGCTAAAGGAGCAGCGCACAGTGGTTGCGACACGTTGAGTCAGGGATTCAATTTGGAGAAATTACTGGAATATTATTCTTCTTTATATATCTTAATAGTAAAATTATAAGTACTTTGATAACATTATATTACATTTCTTGTTAAAATATATATAATTAATACCAAAGTTCAATCCGGTTTCTAAAATATTTCTCTTTTTAGATCTTCTAATTCTAATCCGTATTTTATAATTTCAAGTAGTCTGGACATATTTTGAGCCCACTGCAACCGAAACGGAAATCGTTTAGCGGTAATGTGGAGCGTGGATCGTGGATAGCAGGGTGCAGGGTGTGGAATTCGTTACGGCCCTTATGGACACTCTTTCTGGCCACGCCCACAGCCGCCGGCAAACGCAAAAGCGCAACTTGAAATATTTATTGCACTTAACGAGCGACAGGGATGGACTGAGTCGGAGCTGGAAAGCAGATTTCACTTTTTCGGTAGCAGATTAGGGGGAAAACTAAGGGGGGGAAATGAGGACGGAAAAGCGAGCATGGCATGTCGAATGTAACCATCAACCGACTGCGATTGTCTGCTCACGTGCTTATCTAAAACTCGCTTTTCCCATGCCCCATTCCTAACCCCCCAGACCCAAAAACAACCATCTAACGCCATCCCTTTTGCGATTTTCCGGGCTGCGGGGGCTTTGGTAGGTTAACGTCTAGTGCATTGTTACGTGCCAAAGTTTTAGTGGCTAAAATAATGGAGCAACGCCAGTCGAAGTGCTCCATACTCATTCTCGTTTTGCGGTCGATTAAACAGTTCGATCTGCGAATGTTTTATCTTTCTGAGCATATGTTTGACATGCCATCTGTATCTACTCTTAAAACTCTCATTTGGCTTAAGGCTTGCGAAGTTCATAAAAAATAAAAGAAAATTTAGCACAAAAGTCTTTAGATTTGCTTAAGACCAAGTATTTATAAACTTCAAACTTTGTAGGGTGCAAGGAATTGTATTTTTGAATTTTTATTGTCCTTTTAGTGTGAAGTGCAATGCAATGAAATGAAAAGTTCTCAGGTAAGGTAAAGTTTTGGTTATGGAAACTCTTTAAGGTATAGGAAAGTTTCCTTTTTAGTAATTTAAACCATCTGCGGGCCTTAAAAGTTTACCTAAAGTTATAGTATTTATTTTTCATTTTACTTATAATATAAAATGTATAAAACTCCAAGTATTAATTGGGTTGTATTATATTCTGCTAAACTTAGTCTTCCTTTATTTTTAATCAACTGAAACCATCTTTTCATATTTTTTCCCAGACCCCTGAAGAGGTCAGACCCAAGTCTCTTGCCTTGCCATCAAAACTTCCAAGTACGAGGGCGCACAGCTAAGTCTAGAAGTTCTTTTGTCCTTTAGTTTGTGTCTCGCAGTCTCTGCTCAAAAGGTAGTGCATTGTCTAGAGAGACAAGAACTCACCTATCCTTGCCACGGCCATTCCCTTACTGCCGTCAAAATCACCTTTCCCCAACCTCATTTGGGGCTACGATAAACAATTCTCCCTTTTTTCCTAACACACACGCAGACCGTAAAAGAAGAAATGCGGAAAAAAAGTAAACAGTCGGAAAAATTTAGTTTTAAAATCTAGAAAATATTATTTAAAGACAAAAGCAGTTTGAATAATTTTTTTCTATAAGTAAAATCAAACTCTAAGGTTTTTTTAAGCTCAATTAATAATATATAAATTGAGAAACCCCTAAATATGTGTAATTTAGTAGTATTATCCCTCAGTGTATGAGCACAAAGGGAACTGGCATACTGCATTGTTATTTCGGCAGGCACCGCAAAGTATGCAACGTTGTTTTTAATGCTTAGTTTTAGTGCGACACCAACAGCAGCAACAAACTTTTGCTTGCGGGCGAAGATAGGAATGTGTAAGGACATAAGGACATAAGGCACGGGCACTCACATCAACGTTAACACCTGGCAGCAGGAAGGTCTGCGCGGGCGGCATATCCCTGGGCACATAGCGGTAGAACTCGTTGCCATCCTTGTACCATTTCACCGAGTAGAGGGCCTCGCCATCCAGATCGTACAGGCACTCCAGCTGCGTCGCGGAGCCCTTAACCACGTATTGCGGAATGCGAATCTCGGTCAATTTCAGGCCATCAACGTTGAAATCTGCAATGAAATTCAAGAGTAAACGCATTAAAGTGGTATTTAAACAACTAATTACTTTATTATGGTGTAAATGGCATATCGGTCAAACAGCTGGGGAATTTTGTATTCCTGTAATATTATAGGTTTGCACACGAAGAAATTAAGCTTATATTCTGGATTTATAAATATAATAATATCATTTTAATCCGGTGTGACTTTCTAGAACTAAAACTAATTCTGTAAAAGTGAACTTATGTAATCCATAAAAGTTTAATATGAACTTCCATCATGTAATTTCTCATTTAAAATTCTTTTTATTTTTATTTAATAACAAATTCTTTATTAGCCAAATATTTGATATCCCAATTATGGTATACACCCCGCAGGGCTGGATAATCTTGATACTCAATTTTGCATGTTGATATTATTTTTATTTTTTGCAGGTGCTTTAAAACCTTAATTGGCGGCGGGTTGAGCTCGACGGCGGCTGATTGATTTATGTAGCTGGAAATTTTTAATTAATTACCAAAGTTTATTTTCACTAGAGCCTGTGTCAACCCACGAACAAAATGAGCGATGGATCTGGCCCAAAAACCCTTTAATGCTAAATGTATATTCGGTATAATTTATAAAAAACATTTGGCCATCAACTCTTTTGCGTTTAATTTGCCAGAGTGCTGTATTTCGTTGTGGATGTGTGTTTTATATTAAATTATATAGATTAATAAGTCAATGCGTTGACAGGAAATGATGTTTTGCTTTGGCTACATGATTGAGAGCCCCCACTATGAGTTGGGGCGAGGGGTCTTTTCAGCCTGACTTTGCTCACTTGGCCAGGCTCGTTGCTAGTCTTGTAACATTTTATGGCAAACTTGTTTATTGTCAATATTGACAATGATACAAGGACACACACGCAGTGTGTGGGGAATTTATATATACACGTACGCCCACCCACTTTTTTGGCGTGTCCCACATTATTACATCGCCAGTGGCTGTCACTCCAAGGATGACTGCTCGCTTGCCTGTCCTCCATCGCCTTTTCCCAACAATCGTTGCACATTACAAGTGTAATAAAATGTGAAAGGATACTATTGTGTACATAGGCAAGGAGGAAAGCCAGAATCCCTTATCATGTGTGTCCTATGCCCTTATCCATCGATATGACTTGTAATTGTTGTCGCTCCAGTTGAGCTGACTTCAGTCGAGTGCACTGTCATGTTTGCTCGAAGACAGAACACTTTCGGCAATGAGAGATGTTTTAGCAATAAGTTTTTCACTGATTCGCAATTAACTGATGGAATAGCCAATTGAATTGATTGAGTTAGTGAGCCGGAGGGAGAATTACAAAACAGGATGAAAAGGAAATTTAAAGGTCAAGTGATCAATCGATAAGTTTGTTAGTTTAGGCGGATGTGTGGAGTCATTATGCTGCTAACTTGATTACTTAATTATGGTAATGCTTTGCTTAGACTGACTCATTTACAGATTACTATGGCATTGACATGGATGCTTGGCAAATTTGAGATTTAAGTTGTATGTTGATGATTTTGCCATGCGAAAGATTTCTTCACTGCAACTAATTGACATTCAATATATATTTGCAATTATATTTATTTAGATTTTTAGTCAGAGAGCAGGAGAATTAATTTTGAACATGCAACAAATTCTTGCCTCAGTCTCAAGTTGCGCTTTAGGATTCATTGGGAATTACACTAGCTTACAATCAAAATTCCCTAAGCTTACTCCAACAAGAAAGCTGACAAGCGGTAAATCAATATTGCCAATAAACTTGGCCTGATATTCAGACCTATCTTTGAACAGTATAATGTTTGAAGATATGTAAAAGCTCGTGCAGTTGTAGCCATGGAAATGCATTTTCCCCCAAAACCATCTTACCACATATAAACACATGCAGGTGAGAATGTGAGCAGTACTTTAAGGAGCCACTTGCAGCAAGGACCTTGCCACAATTTGCAGGAAAAGTTGCGTCAAATGACAGTGCCCTAGGATGGGAACGAGGTGGCGGCAGCAGAGTCAAGCAGAGGAACATTAATGAGACTGCATGGGTGAAGTTTTCGGTAAGGACTCTACCCACAAGAATCATGTCCTTGCTCTATGTGTGCGGCATATACTCCCTTGGCCAACCCGCTGGCCGGCATCCAAAACAAAGAAAAATGCGCACAAGAAAAGGTAAAACAAATACAGGAGAACGGAAAACAAACAGAAAAACTTTCATTTTATTTGGTTTTCAAGCGAATTTAGGTTACATGCTCCCATTCTCCGTCTGCTGCGCTCATTAATTCTGCTTAAGAGTCGAACTGCAAATGGAACTGTGACGCAGAAGCAGCAGCATAGCAAAAAAAAAAAAAGGTACAGTGATCTCATTGCAATGTACTTATATGTTGGTCAATGATAAAACAGGAATAGAAAGCATCAGAGAAGAGAAAACAGGATTAAAATACACCTTCGTATCACCTTCTAGGAAATCATTAAAAACTGTAAATGCAGTGCTAATTTTTATGGCATATCCTGGGCTGTTTAAATATCATTTTGGAACATTTCGAGAGATCACTGTGACACCTGGAACAGCATCACTACAGCTGAAGCATCAATAGAGGCAGCAGCAGTTTCAACGAAAGTTTCTCTTTTGGGTAATTTCAGTAACTTTGTCATTTGGGCTCCTTGACACACTCACCAGCACACTAATACATACACTCGGCTCGTGCAGGATGCCAACAGGACACACAATAGCTGTTCTTGTATCTTCGTTTGTTGCCGGAGTTCTTGGAGTTCGGGTTTGAGTGGAATTAATATGCTCAGGCTGCGACCTTTGCCAAGTGAAAAATCAATTTCCCCTTCGACAACACAGCGAGAAACAAAAGTGAATTAATTGTTAAAAATTGTTTTATCAGTTTGAATATCCATAAATAAGGGCAGATGATGTCTACAAAAACCATATCGATTTTCTTTAAATACATTAATTAATGATTACTAATCATTCAACATAAATTTCTCTGCATGCATTTGTTCTCAGAAAAGTGAATTTCCTTCTTCCTTTCGCTACTGCTTTTCTTCTGTCAACTTTTTCTGTGGGCGACAAAAGTTTTCTTTCATACTTCATTGGGGTTAAGTGATTAAATTTGCAAAGGACACAAAAATACCGAGAAATATTCGCCGACGAAGTAAGTCGAAAGAGGATGCCGTAAAGGGAAAATTGCGAATAGAATGAGCGTAGGAGAAAGTAAAAGAAACTTTAGCACATATGACATGAAAATTTATGCGGATCTCATCCCCTTGGTTCCTGAAATGGCACACGTGCATAATTGCTAACAAGTTGAAACTTTCAGTGGCATATGATTTCAGGCAGTGGCTTCGGGATAGACCAAGGCTGTAGTTGACTTTTAATATAAACATTTACTTGATGATGATGATTAAATGTCTCTGTAGAAAGAGCTTAGTCTAAAAGGGGTTTTCATTTTAAGTGATGGCTGTAATTAATAATTTATATTTAAAAGGAAATGAACCATTTATTCTTTAATTTCCTTTCTGAAAATATGTCTTAGCTTCTATTGTTAGCCGCTTGTTGGCCGCAGGAAATGGTTTGTGCCTATCTAACCCACTGTGCATGTTAATAGGCGACAAATCACATTCGATTCGCTTCCATTCCGCCTGGGGGGATTTTTTCGAAAATGTCCTAGCTCATCTGTTGCTGCAGCGGTTGGGGGAGCGGTTGTTAAAACTGTCATCGGTTTTGGGGGAGTCCTTTCATGGTTAGGGGTTGGATGGGCGATGGAGGAATGTGAATGCTTGGGGCAGGTCACTATGGTACATCGCTACACTATTGCCGGACATCTTTAATCTTTGGCAAAAAGTTAGACTCGTTAGGGAGTTGGCCGCTTCCTTGCAGTGTTCCTCTATTTTGCCAGACTGGCTCCCCCAGGAGGCTGGCCATTTCTGCCATGCCCAGAGGATCCTCTTTTTTTTCGCATTTTTTGTTAGCCCTCGGGGTCGGTTCAAGCTTAATATCCGCTGCCAGCGCCAGTGCTGTTGTTGTTGGTCGTCTTTGGTTTATTAGTAGTTCGTGCCAGGACACCAAGGATGCCAGGATAGCAGGCCAGGATCTCGCAGGCAGCAGATGAAAGGAGGAAGAAGCCAGAGCTGTTTGCCTATGTAAATGTCTGCACATGAGCCAGGACTGCAGACTCCGGAGTCCGGACCATTCGCATCCCCATTCTCATCCTGCCAAAAGACAAACAATGGCTGTGCGTGTCCATGGTCCTGCCTTAGCTTATACTTGGCCTCTATGGCCAGTGCCCGAGGTAGCAATATTTGCTTTCTCCGCTCTCATCATTTGCATATAATGGCTCTGTAAAAGTTCATAAGGATGCGGGATGTGAAGACTGCAATTCGATTTTGGAATTTAATAAAAACCCGTTGCAGGCTATGCATTCTATGGACGTTGAAAGAACCACAGTAAAGGCTTCACAGTTGCTAAGTCATTTTTTATGCGATTTTTCTTATTAGTTGAGATGAAATTTTATTTAATCTTTCGAATATATTGGATGAGATTTGCTACCAACAGAAAATACATAAATATAAATAAATAAAGGTAAATTGGAGAAAAGTTTCACAGAAATATAGTATTTGATTGTATGCCTTTTCCCTTAAACAAAATATTTAATTTATAAACTAAGAGATATTTTTAATTGAACTTTAGCTGTACCTCGAAGCCAGCTACGTAAAAATTTGATCTAAGCCAAACTATAAACGGAAAGGGTTAAGCTCAGCTGAATAGCAACCAACAATTTTTTCTGTAAAAATATTTTCTGACCGGCTTAGATTCCCTGCCACCCTCCCCGTCTCTTTCTCACTACGGCATGCTATCTTTTTCAGGATCCACTGGGATGAGAAAATATTCGCGATTCTCGCTTGGCTTGACTTTAATGCGTCTGGGGGCCGAGCGGCGGCGACTGCCCCGGGGGCGTGGCAGGCAGCGCAACAATTACTTCAGCCCTCCCCGG